TGGTGTGGGAGTGGGAGTGTCGGTGCTGTCTGTGGCGGGAACGGGATCTGCGAGAGTGGGGATGGTGCCGAGTGTCCGGGGGAGGGTGGTTGGTTGAGGAGGTAGCGGCAGGAGCCGCAGCGGCAGCTTCGGGCGCGCGCGCCGGCTGAGGCTCGGGCGGTGAAGATGGCATGCTGCTCTGAGTCATGAAAGGCATGATGGTGCCAGGTGCCAAGTTGCCGTAATTGGGAGGGCCACCGTAGGGCATCATGGCCATCGGGTTGCCAAAGTTCGAGAGGCCGCCGTAGGGCATCATGGGGAAAGGTGTGAAGGATGCCGTCTGCGAGTTGGGTGACGGTACAAGGTTCATGGGCTGCGTCATCTGGGATGACAGCTGCAAGTTCGGTCCACAATTGCCTGGTGAGCCGGACGCGGTGCCGGTCGCAATGCTATGCAGGAGCGAATGCATCATGTCATAGAGCTGGTGTCCAGCCATCTCGCAAGGGAGAGAGAAGGTTGGAAAGGGGTGAAAACAAAACCACAACTGCGGCAAAAATGCGTCAATGGTGCAAATGCATGCGAGCCAACTTCAACCTGCGAATCGAAACCAAACAGAGGGAATTCCACCAGGGGACCGCCAAAACCCCGCGGCAACGGCAAAAGTTTCCACAGAAATGCATGCGAGCACAAAGGGGTTCTCAGAGGTGCCTGTCAAGTGGCCTCATGAAAGTGCCTCATGTGGCTATGCCGATGAATCTGAACTGAACTCATCCGAGACGAAAGCTTCCATAAACGCCACGAATCGCAGAGTTGGTGTATGACCAACTCGTCACTGGCGCATGAAGCTTAGGAACCTGAAACCTCGTGGGTGCAGCCTTGCTTCAAAGGCAGGCAGTGCAGGCAGTGCAACGCGCATGAAACCAGCAGAGCACCATTTGGGTGCGGAATACCTTAAGACCTCAAGCTGCAGCCTTGATCGTGGTCAAACGCGCTGAACGGCAGGTTGAATTTGAACGTATGAACGGTCTTCCCCTCGCAGGGGGCTCCCGCATGTGGCGAGTCCAGCCCACAGCGCCATGTCGGACAGGCCGTGGGTAAACACACTTATCTCGAGAGGCTTCACTAGCCGAGATGCAAAACGCAGTCAGTAAAAATGCTTGAATGCAAATGCAAATCAACAGGTCACAACATCGACACCGAACAGGAAGCAACAGCGACAAACCGAAACCGCAAAAAGAATCAGGAAAGAGGGTCAGGAAATAGGCAGGTACGCCGGATTGATCAGATCCGGTATCCACCGAAATGCCGTAGCTTCATTGGACTGGATAGGCAAATCGGCTCCAGTCCCCCTGCAATGTGGTATTTCCGTCCGTGCTCCAGGACGCTTCACACACACACACACACACACACACACACACACACACACACACACACACACACACACACACACACACACACACACACACACACACACACACACACACACACACACACACACACACACACACACACACACCACACACACACACACACACACACACACACACACACACACACACACACACACACACACACACACACACACACACACACACACACACACACACACACAAACACACACACACACAGAAACACACACACACACACACACACACGCACGCACGCACGCACGCACGCACGCACGCACGCACGCACCCACCCACACACACACACACGCGCACACGCACACACACAAACACACACACACACACAAGCACAAGCACGCACACGTAAACCACGCACAAAAAAAGTCTTCAGCAAGCCGATGTTTTGGCACAGATGTGAAAGTGATGCGTCGCCATGTCAAGCCGCACCCCTTCACCGAAGGGGCGACGACGGCATGCAGTTTCCCCGGTGGGTGTTGCCTCTGTTGCCCCTGGCCAACTAGAGCTGCAGCTGCGGTCCCCTGTTTCCGTGGCTACCGGCGACGAGGGATGTGCTGCGCGGCTGGCAGCTAATCTTGGAGCTCAGGAAGCTCGCACAAGTCGCCTTTTAATTTTTTGTGTAGCATCTTCAAGAAATGGTTTCTTCCCTCTGGGACACCATCGAAGCCCAGGATCTTCCGATCGCCTGGGGCCTGCAACCGCTCAGATGTAGACTGGGGCCATTCTTGACGGCGCCTGTTTTGTGGAAGAAGCTGAGAGACTTAGCAGAGTACTACCGTTCTGTCATCGAGGCGGCCAGCAGGCTGTCACCTTGCAAGGCCTTCGTCGCCGTGCGTCAGAAGCCATCCAGAAGTTGGCCTTGGAAGAAGCTGCGGCTTTGGAGGAAGCAGGGCAAGTGGAGAAAGCTAGGGCTTGGAGACAGAGCATTGACAAGCACCTCGCCTATGAGATCAATGTCCGCAATTTTTGCGCTATTCATCTCGCGCAATAGTGAACGTTTGTTTCTTCCTCTTTGCTGCGAGAAGCTCAGGCGTGTGGCGGGCTCAAGCCACGGAACAAAACGTAGCTTGATTCTGCAGGAGGTGTTGCTGGCCAGCATGGTGAAACCCATGCCAAATCCAGCGCGAAAGCGCAGCAAGCACAAACGCAGCTGCTGTGGAAAGGGGCGCCGGATAGAGAATTGCTCTATGCCAGGGGCTATGAAGGTGGCGTCACACAAGTCAGCGGGGCCTCGGGCGTCTTGGAAGGCCAAGCTGCCAGTGAAGCGGCGGCAGTCAGCCGAGAAGCACAAGAATGAGGCGAAGAAGTTGTACGGCGCAACTTCATCTGACAGCTGGAAGCGGACGCAGCAGGCTGCTGCGACATCCTCGTCGTCAGCGCTAGACGCCCTGCGCCGTAGCGCCATAGACGCTTTTGAAGAGCTGGTGGCACTTCGCTTCATCAAGGGGCACAAGGGCAAGTGCGAGTCGTGCAAGGGAAAGCTGTTGGAGCCGGAGGCTTACGCTTACGAAGGGCAGCTGTATGTCCGCTGCCAGAACTGGCAGTGCCAGCAGAGGTACAACGTAACACACTTTTCCGTCTTCGGCGGCACCCGTCTCAAGTTGCCAAACTTGCTGAAGGTGGTGGTTTTCTATGTTCGTGGAAATAGACTGAAGCCGCCAAGGGTGAGTGAAGCCAGCGCAGTTGAAGCTTGGCAGATATGCCGTCTCGCACATCTACAGCGCGCTCTTGACCCAGGACCAAGAGGCAAAAGCAGGAGAGGCCTTTTCTGCAGAGCAGCAGCGCCTGGCTGGGAATGTGGAAGGAGATGCTCACACAATCCGGAAAGTGCACCTGAGCACTGCCAATCCTCCCTGGGTTGTTGTAGGTTGACAACAATGCGTCGTTACCGATTCGTAACACCCCAAATCTATGTGGATGACCTGGGTCGCTGATGCTGCAAAGCGATGGCGGTGCAGGAACGGCAACAAGCCACAGCCGAAGCATTGGCTCGGCCATGTTCGAGTTGCAGGCTTGAAGCAGCGCGATGGCTCAGCTGTGGTGATTGTGTTGCCTACACGTCTGGTGCCACCGGAGTCTTCGCCGCCGGTGGAGGGGCGTCAGGAACTGAAGAGCAGTGGCCTGATGAATCACGTGGATACCGCCCATGGCAAGAAGACGTTGCTACACTCTGATGAAGCACAGGCCTGGCCAAAGCTAGTTGCCGATGTTGGGAAAAATAGTTTGGAAAGCCACCATGTGAATCATAGCAAGCACGAGTTTGCCAGAAGCGTCTCCGTGAAGAAGGGAGCGCGCAAACGCCCCGCTTGCTTCATAGTGGGGACTCAATGTATAGACAGATGGTGGCAGACATTGCAAGACTTTATACCAACTCAGCTTCACACTAAGAAAGGGAAAGAAGCCAATCGAGATTTCTTTCTCTACATGCATAGCTTCGTTTGGAGGCATTTGAACTGCAACAAGGCAAACAAAAACCTTGGGTTTTTGCACATTGCCGCATGAAAACAATGCTGCCCTAATTCTCCCGTTCACAGCCAAGCACGAGCCATCCATGAGAAATCGAAAGAAGAAGAAGAAAAACAGTATATATAAAAAGCGCGTCAGGCAGCTTTCGACCCCAGTTTTTTGTTTTGCTGCCTGTGACCTTTTAGGAACCAATGGAATTGGAATGCGTAGAACAATTAGTGTAATTATGACAAATCTAATAATCAGCAACAAATGAATCTTGCATTCCCCAACCGTCCCTTTAGGAGTCATGAGAATGAAGCAATTAGAACAGACAGGAATCTGGGCTTCCCTAAACGGCACCTGCCCTTTGAAAATGATTAGAGAAATTGACAAGTATGGTAAGCGAATAACCAGCAAAAATAATCGTGAATTCCCCGCAAAGCACCTGCCCCTTTGGTAATACTCGGCACACTTGTCCTAACTAGAACAATCAGAATAAGTAGAACAAGCGTGAAACAGCAACCGGCCCTTTCGGAATAGCTTGTGTACAAAAAAAAGAGCTGAAATAAATCGTAAGCATAGCCCTCTGTTATATTCTGGTACTTCTCACTGGGCACACCAAACAATCAGATAATCAATGCACCGCAAAATTCCCCAAAACGCACCCGTCCCGTTGGGAATAATTAGAACAATTAGAAGAACATGAATCTGGAATACTCGGGGAGCGCCCGTCCCTTTGGGAATTGTTAGATCAATAAGCAGAATAATAAGTATAATTGGAGTAGTTGACTCGAACAACTAAAACGAGCAGGATGACTAGGAAGACATAGGGGATATATTTGTTGTAAGTGCTCCCATATGCTCCAAGTATTGCAATTACGAAAAGACTTCTAAAACAATGAGCCTATAATTCCCTACATGGCATCCGTCCCTGCGGGAATAAACTAACAATGTTAACAATGCAACTAGTGCGTGTATAATTGTGAACTTTAATCATAGATGTGCATATGTCCAAGTGAGTTAAGTAGGCTCAGCACTGACCAAGCCCTTTTCTCCCTGGCCAGAAGTCTTTTGCCGTTTATACTCGACAACAAACAACATCCCCTGAACTTCAAACTTGGAAACTCTGCCAGAACTTTCCCGGAACGCCTGTGGAGCTCAACTTCAAGCCCAGGCTGTCGCACAGCAGGCTCCACTCTTGCAGGCCCTCTTCTGTCATCAGGCACGCCTACACCAGCGCGCAAAACACTCTGCGCATGCCTGATTGTGCTACTGAGTGGGTCCATCCAATGCCAAGCCTGAACTCACTGCCATGGTTGCCTGCTTGTGAACATCACGCGTCGATGCAATCGCCTGCGGAACTCGTAATCCATGTTGGTCATTCAAACGCATCTGTATACATACAAAGGTTGATCAACAAGACCTCACGACCGAGACCCCTTTTGATTCCCAATGACTTCCATCCTTCCAGCCTCGTCAACCGCAGCCACCAGCAACATGGCCTCGGGAGATGTTCTGGTAATGGCACCGTGCTCGAACATCTTCTTGTACACGCCTGGGCGTTTGACGGGGGGAAACAGTGGATCCCAGGCTCCTTGCAGTGAAGTTCCTGCAGTGATACCACAAACTGTGAGTCAGCATCCCGAAGCCAAGAAAGAACGTCATGGAACAGCTTGCAGAAAGGCAGACGTGTAAAAAACCAAATCTACTTGCACGTGGGCCTGGCTATGCAGATGCCACTGGCCGTTGAAGGGTGGTTTCAAGCAAAAATAACATACGAGGATGTTTGTGTCCCTCTTCGAGATCTCACTGCCAATTGCGGAACCATCGGCCCTTGCCCCTATTCGCACTACTCAAGCTAACGCCCCCTCCCCGTCTCATGGTGATTGTGCGAAGGCATTAGGGACATCTAGTCATAGGAAGAAGGGTTGCTTGACGTGGACTGCACGAGCCATGGAAATGCTGTAAGCTGTGAGGAGGGTTCAGTGCATACTCAAAACGTAAGGAAGTACGCTACCCCAGACAAACTGCAAAGGGCGCGTCCTACGTGAAAGGAAGGATTCTTCTTTGCGCACTCCACACACCTCCAATCCACAGTCAGGGAATCGGGGGGGGGGGCACCCTTCCAGGAAGGAGAAGCTGGACAACATCTCATAATGCGCATCATGGTCAACCATGCCTGCAGGGGGACAGAAAGCAATACATCGATGCCTCGACACGGGCGGGTTCATGAGACCCACTCAACCACGGCACCGTATCAGGCACCAGGTTGCCCTTCGCTACTTAGGATGCGGTTTGCCAAGTTAGTCCCAGGGCATTCGACCAAAGGCCTTAACCCCAACTCTCAACATCTCCAAAAGTGCATGGCTTGGCACAGAAGAGGCCCCCCCCCCCTCTGGCATTTGGCACCTGCGGGCAAATATGCCTGGCAAGTGTCTCCTCGTTGCACGCAGAAGAGCTTGCCGAAGTTGGTTGAGGATATTCCTCGGCACGGCCATGTATTCACATGCCATGCCAACAGCTCCCACAAACCTTGACAAAGTTCTCTAGGCAGCTTGGGTCCCTGGCCACCAATCGAGGAAACACATCAGGTCAACCGATCGAAACGAAAAAATGGCGCTCCCGCTGCAGGCTGCCAGCCCGCTCTCTCTCTCTCTCTCTCTTTCTCTCTCTCTGTCTCTCTCTCTCTCTCTCTCTCTCTCTCTCTCTCTTTCTCTCTCATCTTTGGCCCCAGCGGGTCGGCTGCCCGCTCCTCGGCTGGAAAGGCCACCAAGAGCAACATGAACAAAGCTGGCCCCCGAGCAAACGTGATGCTGTGTAGACAACGCGATAGGCGACAAACTGATGTCTCTCAATGTGAGGGGCAGGAACCCACAAAGTAGACTCTCATCGTCACGCATGGATGTAAGATCAGCCCAACAGGATTGCCCATCCCTTTGACATATCAGAACTGGCAACCGCCATGTGCAAACATACCTGGGAGGGCCACATGAACCACGGTCAAGCCTCGTACGGGGAATCGTTGATGACCAACCTTGTCAGCTTGACCCACTGGCCTAGCCCTGAAAACTTAAACACACAAACAAACACCTTTAAGGACAATGGGGCTTTGTCCAAAGGCACAAAGGCACGAAGGCCCAAAAATGAAAGGTCCAGCCTTGAAGCAGTCAACAGCAAGCCGGCCTTGCAGCCGCGGTGCCGCAGCCTCGCCCGCAGGAGCTTCCACGGACAGGGAGGGCACCATTTGGGTCAGCCACTCCGGTTGGACGCCTTTGGTCAACTCCTTGGACGACCTTGCACGTGGAAGGACCAGACAGAGAGCTTCCAACTGATACCTCTGCCCGCCTTACCACAAACTGCTGGCACGGAAGCACAGGGAAAGAACACAAAAAAACAGTAGCCAGCGTGTGACTAGAGGGCATCCAAATGTCAAACACTTGGGCCCCTGAGTCATCTATGGTGGGGCCATCTGAGGGCGACGGTGTCACTCATGCTCAGCAATTGTGTTTGAGCAAAAGGGTATGCTTCGCCAACCCTTCATCGCTGGTTCTTACCTCTGATAAGAGCCATCATCCGTGCTATGACCAAAGCTCCTTGCGCGAGTCATTGCGTTTCGACTGTCACCCGCTCACTCTTGACTTTGCTTGAGCCTTAAGCCTGGGGCCCCCGGCTCATCATCCATCACCTGATGTGGATTCTTCCCACCCCAACCAAAAGAGAAGGAGAACGAGGAGCCGCAAAAAGAGAAGAAGAAACAGAAAGAGAAAGAGAAAGGAAATCAGAAAGAAAGAGAAGGATAAGGAGACGGAGACGAAAAACGAGAAAGAGAAGGAGAAGGAGAAACACAAAAAGAAGGACAAGGAGAAAGATAATGACAAAGAGTAGAAGAAAGAGAGACAAAAGAAAACAAGAAAGAAAAAAGGAAAGAAGGACAGAAAGAAAGAAGGAAAGGAAGGAAGGAAGGAAGGAAGGAAGGAAGGAAGGAAGTAAGGAAGGAAGGAAGGAAGGAAAATGAATAAATACATAAAGAAAGAAAGAAAGAAAGCACGAAAGAAAGAATGTAAGACAGAAAGAAAGGAAGGAATGAAAGAAAGAAACAACTAAGGAACGAAGGAAGGAAAGAAGGAAGGAAGGAAGGAAGGAAGGCAGGAAGGCAGGAAGGCTCAAGTCTGTGCTACCAAGTGCCTCTAAGCGTGAATTGTCTTGTGGTGGTTTGTTCACTTGGACGGGGAACCTTTGTTGAGTTTGCCATGGCAAGGCTTTTGTCACAGATATGTCAAACAGGAACTTATCCCACTTGCATACCCTTTGCACGCAGAAAGTGAACAGGGCATGCTCTGTTCCCTTGTCGGGCTCGAGCAGCCAGCCTCCTATAGATGTTGCGCATCCAAGACCAAAGCCACACTGACATTACAGCATTGCATTACCAACAACCAACTCCCCAGCTCAGCCAAGCAAGGGTGTGAGGCTTCCTCCCCTCAAAGCTCAAGACAACAAACTGGTACCTGCATTATCTGCAGAGGTCTTCTGCGGAGCCGCCAAATATCAGAGGTGTACTCATGGCCCCCTTACACAAGCATTCCAAATGTGAGATATATATATATATATATTGTTATTCGGGCACGAGCCTGTGCCCAGGCAATGGGTAAGTTGGGGTAAACAAGCCACAAAAGAAAGGTTCCCCAAAAGCAAACCAATCCCCGGTCCCAAAGATCAGGGTTTCCCACACACCAGAGAACAACAACCAAAAGGAAACAAACCAAAAGAGAAAAGGGTTAACCCGCAACCTTGGTCGACAACAGGCCGCACGACTGGTCCCTACCAACCTGGCGGCGGCCCGAGGTCTCTTTCTCCCCCGAGATGCCGTCGGTCGACGCAGGGGTTCGGCGACGCCCATTCGAGGCGCGACGGAACCCGTAAACTTGAGCCAAACACCACCAGGTCAGTCACTATCGCGACATCCCTGGTGATGGTTTAAGACATGGCTAATCACACCCCCCTCACGAGGAGCCCGTCATATGACGGGTGGAGCGTGCCATTTACTGATAGGATTTAACTGCTCGCATGTATCCGCAAACAGCTGGACACTACCGCCGTCAGCGGTGGAGCAAACCCACAAAGGCAGTTGCGCGACGTCCCGGGCATTAAAATCCCGCCACCACCCCGAATTAATCGGGGTAACGCTGTCCAACATACCTCGTGGAAAAGTCCACATGACGGCATTAGGCCACAACTGTTTGCATCAACAATGCAAGTAGTTCAATTCTTATCAGAAGCCATGAAACAAAGGATAACGTATGTTCATCAGTACCCTTGCCTATCGGCAAGAGGTACCCCTGACCATGCGCACCTGAAAAATACTTCAATTTCGCAAACCCGGAAGTATCCCCCCATCAGTAATAGATTCGGAGGCCCACTTAGCAAACTTCTCATGTTCAGCAAGGATCTTCTCGAGCCTCAGGTTTAGCTCCCTGAAATTCGCGTCCGCTCCACTGCTGGCAGCCCTATCGGGCAATTGGGCAGTCAGATCACCTGCCGGCGTCCGCATCCCAACGACTTTCTCTATCTTGAAGAGTCGTGTCTCGATCTTGTCCAAGTCTTTAAGGATCTCATCCTCAGAGGCAGCATGACTCCTGCGGATGGCCTGATGATTTTCCTGAATGACCTGACGAAGTTGGCTAGTTGCGACTTCATTTTCCCTAACGGATTCATGAACTTCGTGGGAAAGCAGGTTGACCCTCTGATCCACAATCTCAGCCTGTTCGTCGATGGCTTGCCTCACAATGGCCTTGCTATCAGGGATAACTTCGCTGGCAAACCGCTGAACTATCATTCGCACCCTATCGGCATCAGACTGAGTCGCAATCTCAGTAGCCAAACGATTCACCCTGTCCTTCGTCTGCTGATTCTCGTCGCTCCACTCCCTTCGCATGGAACCCACCTGACCGTTCAGTAACCTGATTTGGTCAGCAAAAATATGGAACGCCTTCGCGACTGAACCAGACACCTCACCCCTCTCGAGCATCTCCTGGATGTGCAAATCAAACACCTCCTTTGCCCTAGCGTCACCTGACTCACCGGAAGAATGGGATCTGAGGGCTGGAGGAGTCGATATCTCGATCCTCTCAGGAGCCCCACTAGCTCTGGCATATCTTCTGGGGTCGCCTACAGGACAATCATCAATCCTGGGTGGCCTACTCGGGGTTGATCCCCTTCTCCGGCTATCGCCAGATCGGGGATCAACATTAGATGCACGAGACTCTGGAGTAGAATGGATATGAACATCAGCAGGGTCGAACATTTCCTCATCCTGCTGGGTTGAACCCAACGGTGAAGGGCTAGCCCTCCTCGCCTTTGACCTATCGGTCTCAATGGCCAGGGGCGACGGCCTCTTCGAGGAAGCACTACGTTCCCTGGCGGTCGATCCCCATTGAGGTGTGAACTCGTTGCTAGACCTTAGTGTTTCAAGGTCGCTGGGATCTCGCCCTAACGGGCTAGCAATCGACGGATGATCTTCGATTCCAAGTGCATCGGCAAGCCGACCATCTCGGGCACCTGTCCTAACGACATCGGCAGCCCGTTCAGTGATCCTCGGCGAACCAGTAACCCGGTTCGAATTCTCGTCTCTCTGATTCAACGAACCTCCAAATGTAATGTTGGGAAAAGGGGGAACGTTCGGGGTATCACCAATCACTGGGGGACCTATCGGCCCCTCCCGGTCATGGATGGCCTCCAATCCCCGAAGAACTTCCCGACTATCCCTGGCTCTCTCTCTCTCGCTTCGGGCGTCCCTGTCAACACGAAGGTCCCTGGCGGCTCCACGAGAGAGGCTCCTGGGCCTCGCAGCATCACGGATCCTAGCATTTCGGCGTGATTGGTCCTCTTCCTCATCACGACGATCCGCAAATGCGGCGTACTCATCATCATCATCGAACTCAAACTTATCAGCGGCAGGGCTAGGCCTTGCAGCAGCACGGTTGCCGCATTTCGGCGCGAATGGTCCTCCTCCTCATCCGCAAAATTGTAATCTTCGCCATTATCAAACTCAGACTTGGCAGTGTTAGGGTTGGGCCTATCGGCATCAGACCCCTGCTTTGAGCTACTGCCCCAGCCTGCGGTTGATCTCAATATAGCATCGTATCCGAAGCCTGTGAATTTCCGCTCCTCGTGCTCAGCAAACTGACCAGGATTTTGAGAACCAGTGGATCGACCCGAGATATCTCTCGGAGCCAAAACCATAGTCCCTGGTCCCTGCGGCCTGTCCTCAGACGCATCCGAGACCTGCGATTCACCTGGAACAAGAGATCTCGGGGGTCGGATAGGCATGGCCTCCGGGTCGTCCGAATGAGGGCGGGCCATGTTCATCGCCATGCTGATGAAGTCGAACTGTCCGCGCCTGCGACCTGACTCAGAGCCGCTCCTATCGGAGCGAACTCTTTGTGCCTGCTCGTCATCAGTGGCCTGACGGAAAATACGATCGTCTCCATCGTCGGTATACCTGCCACGGCTCCTGGGTGTGTCCCTACCGGGATCTTCACCCCTGCGGTCCTGACCTGTCGAACCTGCTTCGAAATCCTCGTAGTAGGTCCTCACCTGAGCGGAGGCCCCCTAGGATGGCCTCCTCATCCACGACACTCCTGTGTGATCGTGGGGTCGACATAGAGCTTGTAGTTGATGGTCTCAGGCGCGTAGGAAAGTCCTACGGCTGATAACCTGTTATTCGGGCACGAGCCTGTGCCCAGGCAATGGGTAAGTTGGGGTAAACAAGCCACAAAAGAAAGGTTCCCCAAAAGCAAACCAATCCCCGGTCCCAAAGATCAGGGTTTCCCACACACCAGAGAACAACAACCAAAAGGAAACAAACCAAACAAGAAAAGGGTTAACCCGCAACCTTGGTCGACAACAGGCCGCACGACTGGTCCCTACCAACCTGGCGGCGGCCCGAGGTCTCTTTCTCCCCCGAGATGCCGTCGGTCGACGCAGGGGTTCGGCGACGCCCATTCGAGGCGCGACGGAACCCGTAAACTTGAGCCAAACACCACCAGTCAGTCACTATCGCGACATCCCTGGTGATGGTTTAAGACATGGCTAATCACATATATATATATATATCAGGGGTACCCCAGGCTCGGGTGGCTGAGCCCTCAGAGAAGCAGGTGTGCCCGGCACATATCGCCTTCAAGTCATGACCAAGGTAAATGAATTACAACACAAGTATTGTACATGCACCAACTCTACACAGACATCAAATCCAACTCCACACATGGCTGACTTCTTTCTTTGCAATGAAACTCTCACAAAGCAAACAGGCCCTCAACCTCGTGACATATCCCCAACTCCCGTCTGTGGCCTCAAAGCGCCCAACAACTCATAAGGTGAGTTCCGACTGTTTGCACGGCTGGCCTCCTTCATTTGCACCTTACAGCGCTGCGACACGGCGTTCCAGACTTCGTCCAGCATCTTCTGCTTCTCCTGTGCATTCTACGGCCTCTTCCTCCAGAACCAGCAACGAGCCAAGCGGCCCTCGGCAACCTTCTTCTGGGCAACATTTTGCAAAACATATTGAGCTGCCCAACACAAGTCTGTCCTCTTCCTGGGCCATCAAGCCAACGGCTTTCAGCACGTGAGGTGTGGTAGTGCCGTTGATCAGAAGAGTCATTGCAGCAAAGCCGCTGATGTGGAAAAGCACCTCGATGCTTGTTTCGTTTCTTGTGCCATGAGCCAAACAAAACAAACAATTAGACAGGCAAGTTTGGCATTGACTAACTCTCTGCACCATGGTCTAACAGCTGTTAAGGCTTTGCTCAGCTGGTGCCCCTTTGTGCGACAAGACGCTCGAGATCCGGACTGCTCATCAATGCTCGTCTCCTGAGTGCTCGAACAAGGTTTTTGGCCGAGTTCGATGCATCTTCTAAGGACTGCTAATCCTACACTTGGCGAAACTTGCCCCGCTTCATTCCTGCCTTCAGTAACCATCCATCAACATCAGCCAATATCAGGCACCCTTCACAAGCCAACCGTGGTATCATCCCATTCAGGGAGTTTCTTGGTCCTTTTGCAACAAGCTTCCCTTGCTTCGCTTCAGCAACGCTTCCACGAGCCCATGGCCAGTCCTGATCCAGAAGGACCGCCATCAGCAGCCCAACGGCTCCACGCAGCCCGGACCAAACCTGAGTACGGAGCGTTCCCAGCCCACGCATCATGAACATGCGGGTCTGAAATTTTGCTGCGGAGTGTTGGCAGGCCAGGTGCTTGATTGCCCCGCATCAATTTTCCAAAGGCTGGGACTGTCGCTCACCTTAAGCCTTAACCTATCAGCCAAATCTTTCAGCTGCCCCTTGGATCCGTGTCAAAGGACTTGGGGCACCTCTGCGTGCAACCGCTGCCTCCTTTTTTTTTAAGCGTTGTCCGACACGCTGAATCCTAATCCAAGGGGCCATGACGACGCCTTCCTGCCAGGACAGCTTGACAGGGGACACCGCCTGCATGGGGATCCAAAAGATCGCCTCAGTTCACCGCAATCAGCTAAAACCTTGACAGGTGAAAGCAAGACATGTCTCTCCGGCCTGTCTTGGGCAGAAGTCTTTTGAGCAGTGTATCCGAAAGTATTTTAACACTTTAAGCCGTTGACATTGACACGCTGAAAATCGAGATCCCTGAGCTCCTGCCGCACTCTGTCTCTTCCGGGCAACTCAAGTTTCAAAGGGCCAAACACAAAAGTAGAGACACACACACACACACACACTCTCACACACGCACACACACGCTCGCAAACCCACCTTCAGAACACACGCACACACGCACACCACACACACACAGGCACCAAACCAAATCAAGCCAAACAAAGAAACAATCCAACAAACCCAATGTTGCCCATCTACCACAGCAGGAGCAACACATCAGCAAACCTGCAAAGCACAGCATTGCCACCACCAGTGGAGAATTTCAGCATCTGCTTTTGGTGGCCAAGTGGAAGGATTCCTGGATGACATGCACATGCAGCCTGCCCGGCGAGGGGCCACGGTAATTGCGCGGATCAGCATGAGGACCACATACCTGAAAGCTGCTGGCACGGGCATAGACGCTTGCACACGAGAACCATGTCAGAACAAAACAAGTCCAAAGGGCATGGTTATTTGGATTGCAGGCTTTCAATTGAACTGTCAGAGTTAGAGGAGCTGCATTTCTTGCTTGCCACCGACTGTCCGAGTTCTTTGCACCGATGTCGATCAAAGTATCACTTCTCTCATTTCTGAGAAAGACTTCCCCCCATGTCCCTCCCAAATAGACCACAGACTTTGGTGGCCAAACCTTTGCGTTCCAGCTCCGTGCTGCCGTGCTGCATAGCCAGCCTCAGGCAACGCCAACTAGACAGGCTTGCAGTGGAAATGAGTTTGCAGGACATGCACATCGGGGGGCTCTTTGGCACCTACCACACACACACATCAGCACATGAAAACCTGAAAACGCAACGACTACAATGAATTGGCTTCGGCAACAGTGCTAACTGTGCTGCTCGCTGGTCCAGCTACATGGTCGAATTCAAATGAGCGGCATGAATCCCCAATCGCTGAGGGTGATGGTGGTGTGGCATAGCATCACATCTCCTTGCCAGGAAAACATTGCGGTGCAAGCTCTGTTCACAATGGCATCTCGAGATGTAGGCGTTAGCACGTGATTGGCCTGCCATGCCACTTCAAGCCTTCCAGCACAAACAATCACAGCAAGCGGGTCGCTATCGTTACCTAGGGCTTCCTGACAGCTGAGAGAGCCAGCGTGGGCACCCGTCCTGAAATCACCCCGGCCAGCCTCAGAGAGTCAATCCAATGCGCAAAGATCTGTGGCTGCGACATCTAGCAGCTTGCCATGTGGCGACCTGGTGACTTCTTTCCGCAGCGTTTCATCTGGCATTGGAGCTGCAGGGGCGTGTTCTGAGTCATCCGAGGCATCACCTCTAACTTGAAGGGGAAGCGAAGGGCAACTGACAAGAGGCTGGCCTGCGATTATCAATCATGACGCATGTTTGAACCACCGCTGTACAACCTGCAGGATTCCGGGTGTCCCTTTTGTTTGCCAGATTTGGCTTGCCAGATATTGCCAGGGAGCATGAAGACCAAGGTGTTTCCTATGAACTCCACGATGTGCCACACCGCATGCAGCAGCTCGGGAGACACAAAGCGAGGCCCCGCCCGAGCCGCCAGCACGGATCCTGAGCCAAGCGTGCCACTCAGAGTATCCAAAACTATGTGAAAGCTGGTGCTCCCTTATCCCCTATGATTCCGAACATGACAAGCACCGTTTGTTAAACGCTCTTGAAGCCCAAATCACTGGCTCAGGAGCATCACTTTACCACTGAGCAATGATGTAAGGAGAGGAGCGCCCCAGCGCCCTGATTTCTTTGTCACAACTAAAGGTGCGTCCTGAAACACATTGCTAATTCGTAAATTTCTTGACCTTGTCCCCCTCCACTTCGATCCATTGCGGGAGAGGCAGGAATGCCAAGCCAGCAGAACAGCCACAGAAAAGGCCGACAGGCCTTGATGAATGTTCCGTCAAGTAGGGTACCTCGCCCCCCCTGTCATGCAGTCCTGCCACCACGACCGTGAGGACGCCACTGGTTCCGAAGCCTTCCTAGCAGGCTGGGAAAATCAGGACGACGGAGCGGGATTGCAGGTCTCCGAATTCATTGCGTTGCCGTGCTCGCAGCTTAAGGCCTCAAACTATCCTTCAGTTGGCATGCCGGCCCTGTGCCCTACCTCGGCGTCATCTTCATATCGAGGGGTGGCCGTGGCATAAACTTGACTTTTGCACGCGAGGGAGTGCGTTCAAACGGTAAGGGGGCTTTCCACCGTTGCCATGTTCCCATTGGCACCCGTCCCTCACAAAGTGCAACCACCCACTGCAATTCAAGTAAACAACCCTCGCTGGGGATGGGGGGCGGGTGCCTGGCAAATTCCACCTGCCTCGGCGCAGAAGAAGGCCAAGTAGCCAAAGGCAACCTTTGCTCAACCAGCACGGGGGCCCCACGACATCGCTTTAAGACCGCTACGTAGGGTAAACCGACCATCCGTAGCGTTTATCAAAATTCTGACCAAGGTTTTTCTCCCCCTGTGCCCAATCAGAAGCAGCCTAGATTTGAAACTGCTAGAAAGCACGGCAGGTGCAACACGAGTATTGCATTCTTGCCAACAATCCGCCGCGGCAACTTGGCCAATGGTGTTCCCTCCTGGGCTTCTTCTGCTTCTTCTGCTTCTGCAGCCAATGAGTCTTAATGGCGCCCGACCCACAACCAAAGCAACACCTTCCAAAAGCAATGGCCGCTCCCAGCACCTCATCTTCTTCCCAAGGGCTGTCAGGATCACTTGCGCCAGAATGTCGCTGTGGTAGCGGACCTCCTTGCCCCACAAGCCCAGCAAGTCCACCGAGAACCAACCTCAGCTGAAAGCTCGCAGCCTGCCAGCATAATCTTAGACCCACTCATTAAGGACCACTAAGGTCATTTACAGGTTACCAGCAAAGAGCTGCCAGTTTGTCACCTCAACTGGCATGCTAGCCAGTGGTCGCATTCTCCCGCCGTGGCGGTAGCCACTTCGCATGGCACAGCTTGTTTGTAAAGCGGCTAGGTGCACAAACGAGCAAATGGCCATTCATGGCCATTCGTTCCCAGAAAGGCCTCTGGGCACCAGAAAGGATTTCCTGCCAGCCGGTATGAGTTCGCTGCCCCCAAAGCCCCAAAGCCCCAGTCGACGAGCTCTCGGTGGCCAGCCGGCGGTCGAAAGGCCAAGCAACCGAAGAAGAGGCCGAGCAATGGGCCGACCACCACACCTGGAAGCTTGGGATCCTTGAAAACGTCCAAGGGCCTGGCAAGCCTGATTCTCCAAGCAGCCAACATGTAGCTAGGAATCCTGTTTTGAATACACGCACCCCCCCCGCCAAAAAATACATAATAAAAAATAATAATAATGAATTTGCGCTTCTATGCTGGTAGCTATCAGCGACCAAGTGGCCAAACGTGCGCTTTCCAGTACCCCCCCCCGCCCCAGCCTTGGAAGCAGAATTTCGCCAACCCTGCAGGAGTGCTGAAGGTTGCAGGATCCACATCCTTGATGAGCATCATCTTAAACAGATTGAAGAAGACCTGAGCCCACCCCAAAATCCGGCTTCGGAGCGTGCTTGCAAGTAAGCCATAGTAAGCCAAGCAAACAAACGGGGCCCTCATGATCCTCAAATCGCGGAATCCGGCGCCCGCCAACTAGGACCAACCAAGTGGCAATGGCAGTGCCGTCGTTGAGCAGCGACTCGCCACTGATCAGCATGGTCAACCGTGGCGACCTCGGGGTTGATGAAACACATAACATGATGGCACCCGATTAGTGACGGGCAATGTAACTACTGAATTATTTTCCCTGATGTGTGGTTCCTACTGTCAGCTTACGAGGAACATAATTGTGGAAGGCGTTTGGCAAACGATCAGAACTCAAACAAATAGGTTTTGTGAATATCAGCCAGGCAGCCAGCACAAAACAGCAAAACCCAAAGCCAACATGTGGCAAAATAGCGCTTCAGAGGTCACCTAAAGGCTCCAATTTTTGCTGGAGACGTCTGGCCTGCATGGATTGTCAAGCCAAAAAGCTCCAGTAGGTGCCAAACAGTTGCCTGGCCTGTAGCCCATAAAACCCAAAAACACTGCGTGCACAAGCTCCGCAGACTGAAAGCGCCAGCGGGCACCAAAGGATTCTAAAGCCTCAGGGTCCAAGCATGCATGGCGTGCCCCTCCAACTCAAAAGTGGATTCTGCCGAAGGTTCGAGAAAGGCTGAACACCTGTATTCACTGCGGAATAAACAACAAAAATGCCGAGGAACGGATCCAATCAATCAAAGCCATTTGTTTGAGGGGAACATGTTGGATTGCTTGTGACCCCATTGGCTGCTCAACATGACAAGCCTTGCTCAAGCCATGATCAAGCCCTTGTTTTGTGCCAGGCTAAGGGCTGCACAGCACATCATTGCATCACTTCCGACAGCAATACTTTGTTGTCTTTGGGCTCAAACTATGCAAGAGTTGCCGCTTCGCTTGCTCGAAGCTATCTTTGGCCGCTCTTCAGCCAACTTGCCTTTTTGATAGATGGGACGTCAGAGCACTCCAAGCCATGTGCAACCAAAGGCGTGCATTTCAACCCCAATGAAGATCCCAAAAACAGTTCAATCCACTCCACCCAAACATGCTCAAGCCACACCCAAACATGTTCAAGCCATGAAAAATGGTCCATGACCCCCGGACTGACATTTTGGATTTTGGACCCAGGGCACACCCCCAGGGAGTTGAAGATGGCCACCACCGCCACCGGATCCGTGGCAGAGGTGATGGCGCCAAAGGCCATGGCCAGGGACCAGTCCCACTCCTACCGTGGCACCGTGGCACGGCCAGAGCGATCTGAGGACACGCAGATCCTACACGCATGCAGATCTGACTGTAGATGTCCCCAGACATTTTGCAGATATGTCACATATCATATGCATGGAGATGGAGATGAATATGGTTGCTAAACATTGGAGCCACTGGCTGATTGGTCTGCAAGCGTGCCCCTAGTACTGCTAGGCCACTTCGGAAGTTGCTCCGCGGCCGATGGGTAGAATGAGAGTCCAGGGGTGCTGATGGGAAATTGCCAAGAAGCCCGATTTGATCATACACTTTGTCGATCAGGCTAACGCCCTGTTCCACCAACGTGCCGGCCCCCAAAGGGGAAAAGCGGGAAGCGATCATGTTGGCCATGGAGGCGGTACCGTACTAGAGTTGTGGTGGAGAATTGCGACTAGCGAAGACAGCTTCTTCAAACAACTTGATCGCAACTGCTAGGTTTCGGGGGCCATTTTCTGAAGCGTTGCTGCGCTACACGTGACGGAGCCGGAGGGCCAACTGTGCACTGCAGCTGCAATTTGACGGACTGACGAGGTAGGGGCTATACACCCTGGGCAATGGACCACAAGAGAGCATGAGATGCTGGACAACCACAACTCAGCCGGGCTTCCAAAAGGTGATGATTGCAAGTGGTCGATGACACGCCTTGTCAAAGCCTGTTTGGGGATGCCCTCATGCAATCCCTTCTGGGCTCTCCCAAGAACGCCAACAAGAGCGAGCACACGACAAAATGAGCATGATAGCAAAATGCAGTACCGGCATATCAGCAGCATCGAGAGCTAAACGAAAAGACAGCGGTCCAAAGCAGAGCACAAGGCACAGACCATCAAGAATGAGGCACGAAGCATGGAACACTAAGCATCATAATGAATCGGCAAACAAGGCAGCAGCGGCAGGACAGCAGCGAAACATGCTGCACACGTTGGCAGCACGATCCATTGAGCATGCATACCCCTTCCGCATCTGCTCAAGAGACACAGTGCGCGCCGCCCACTCCCATGCAACCATGCAACGTAGGGCAGAATGTACTTGGCGGCCACGCCGGCCAATACGGCACCGACAATCACCTCAGTGGATACAAGCGCAGAAAGCCCCTAAACAACTCCACAAGGAATAGGCGTGGGCGTCTATCAGAGGCCGGGAAGTGAACATCGCCCGCACATCACAGAAGAGTCCCTAGAAACGGTTTGGATTCCCTTTTGTGCATTCCACCAACTTAGCACTGCGCTCTTTTGGCACCCTTTTGAGGTCCTGCTGGATCCAAAAATGCCGCAGCCAAACAATTGCCTGCCTGCCGTTGCCAGGTGCCAGGCCAATCTGAGACCCACACTCCAGGCACAGCCATGATGAAGCAACTCCAGAAGCAGCGCTTCACCATGCCTCAGATGTCTGTGATTGCCTTCACTTCCCCCGGACTGCAGCAACCCCCACCCCAATAGCCACACTGCGGAAGGGCCAGCCTTTGACTACCTGAGAAATTCTGAAACCCAAGCCACTCATGTTCATGTTCATGGCCTCGGAGAAGATGAGCGGCGGCAGGAAGGCGAACCTCACATGCTGGGCATGCCATCTTACTTCATGCCTGAGGATGAGCATGCACACTCCGGCATCACACGCACACACACCTCCAAGGATGAAAGTGATTGAGCTTTGCATACCATTGAAAAGGCCTATCGCAGTTGCGTTTTACACGTTGGTAGTGATACCTTGGATTTTTATGATCTTTGGTTGGTAGGCCATGCTGGTCTTGAGCACCCACCTTTCATCTTCCATTTTGCGCCTCAAGGTCTTGGCTCGCCGAGCCCGTTTTGCCGCGCGGCATGAACAAATGCGGATCGATGTCGTGCCACAGGTCCAAGGACAGCTCGAAGGTGTGGGGTAGAATTCCGCGGGTGTGGGCCTGGCTGCTGTGGCCCCGCAAGCACGCAATGAGGATACCTTCGATGAAGATGGTGCCTGGGCTGCAACCGTTACAACCGTTGGCTACTCCGCCAGCTCACAAAGACGAAACAAATGTGCGGAAGCCAACGAACCTACATGGCCTCAACCAAGGACAAACAAGTGGTACATCCGGACTGAGATAAGGCCGACCTTGCTTTTTTCCGGGAATTCTTTTCCGGCGCTTTTGGGAATTTTAATCCATTCCATTTTCCGGTCACCTTTGCAGTGAGGGCGCGCTTAGGGTTTAGGGTGGTTGGGGGGCCTGGTTTAGGGTGGGTTTGGCGCGGGTTTGGTTGGGGTGGTTGGTAGAGGGTTAGGTGGTGCTTGGGTTGGCGCAAGGTTGAGGATTCAGGTGGGTATATGGTGGATTTTGTGTGGTTCTGGTAGTTTCGGGTGGGGTTAGGGTAGGATGGGTTTAGGGGTGCGTTCAGGGTTACCGTCATCCAGGACGTCCTTGGTGTATGAACCGCCACCTTCACGAGGATACTTGGCAGGTGCCTTAATGAAACAGGACAGGAGAATGAAAGCAAGCTGAGTGACAGGCATCTAGGCTGTTGTAGGGTGGTTTAGGGAGTTCAGGGTTGGTTTAGGGCGGGTTTTGGTTCTGGTTTTGGGGTGGGTTCAGATTCGGGGTGCGTTGGGGGGTTGGTTTAGGGTGGGCTTCGGGGTCCGTTCAGGGTTGGTTTAAGTTAGGCTCGGGGTGAGCAAGCAAGCAAGCAAGCAATGAAGCACCCTGAACCCCCCGGTATACTTTAAACACAAAACCACCTACCCTACACCTGCCCTGACCCACCTGAGACCCTAAACGCGCCCCAAACCTACCCTCTTAACCACCCTGGACCCTAAACGTACCAAACGTGCCTTGAACCCTAAGAACGCACACCCTAAACACCCAATCCGAAACTTCTCTAAACCCGCCTTTATTGTCAACTCAACCAACCCAACCAACCCAAACTCCATTTGAACCCACCCTAGACCAATCCTAAACCGACCCACCTAAAGCAACCGCAAACACACCCTAGACCAGCCTTAAGCCAACTCTGAACCTACCCATAAACCCACCTACACACCCGCACACCACCCGAAACCCACAACTCTGAACCCCTAAGCCTACCCTAAACCACCCTACACCCGCTTGCTCGCTTGCTTGCTCGCTTGCCCACGGGACTGGAAAAAAACCAATCCAGCGGGAGAACAAATCGCAAAATAACATTTAGCACCCACTGAGAATTGCAGGGACCAGTTCTGTGCCGACAAGCAGCAAGTATACGGTATTCCCAGGCCTGGGCACAATATGAGGGGCTATGCGGATTTGACATCTTCTGAAACATGCTGTCTCATTGAAATCTGGCTTCGGAAGTCCCAAGAAACTCGGGTTTTGCAAAGCCAGGTGCTTTCAACCCCAGGCAGCCTGCTTTTCCGTGCTGCTGTTGCCTCCGGATAGGGCACCCGGCCAGCCCGCTCCAAGAAGCCAATGGTCAACACGCCCATCACCACCTCACATTGCGGATGCCGGCGATCTCCCGAAGTCTCTGAAACAAAAGTGATTTGCCACATCTTCTCCAACTGAAGGTGTTGAAACTAGGCCGCTCTAGCTGATTGTTTCTTGATTTCATGGCTACATGCAATAGGGCTGACTCAAAAACCTTGCCCTGTTTTGGCTGACAGACTCGGAGCTTCTGGCTAACACTGTCCCGTGCCATTGCTCTTGCCCGGCCCACTGAGTCAACATCGTCCTTTCCCGGGCTCTAGCTGATTCTGAGCTCAGCGCCGTAACGAACAGGAAGAGGATGGCGAGGTGGCCGTGGGTCGCTTCATGGCCGTTGGAGCGGGTGTCGACCAGCGGGTTCTTGTGGGCCGCGCTGCCATTGTACCAAACCGTGCGGTGGGAGATGATGATATCCTTAGGTGGCAAAACTTGTGCACGGCCGACGTCAACTTCAAGCATTGCCTCAGGCAAATCAGTATATGCCTGGTTGAATGTTCTTCCACCACCGATGGCCTGCCAATATTTCCTACTTCAAGTGGGGCCACCAAAACGGCCCATTTCGAATATGCAGTGCCTGAAGCGCAGAAGCAGCACAAACAAATTGTTGGAAAAACCGCACATGTTTTCCTAACACCTGTCATCTGCTTGCTTGGCTTACTTGATTGCTTGCTTGCACTCTTTTGTTCTGTCTGTCTCCTTTGCCTGAGGAAACGGAGGGAAGCACTCGGCAAAGTCAAGTGTTGCGAGGTGCACAATACCTGCATGCAAAAGAAACCCATCAAACAGTTGTTCGAGGAATTACCGTCATGAGTCCTGAAGCTTGCAAGTTTGTCGAGGCCAATGCGCATCAAAACGCGCTACCACAAAGGAGGGGGTGTGGGGTCCTTACGCACCCAATGGGCAGGAGGTGCACAGGAATCCCAACGAGCCTCTCTCAGGTGTAGATGCACACACACCCACACACTCTGAAGGACACACCTGCACACCCTGTGTTGGGCGAAAGCCAGCTTTTACTTTAATTACTTGTCTTTCACATTGCTAGCCCGATTCAGGAGTACGCTGTGGGATGGTTGCCAGATACTTGCTGAAGCCAATTCGAACTCAATGCTGGCATAGATAGCCATCGGAAAATGATTCTCATCTCTGTCCAAGACTTGCCTTCATAGTGCAGCACGGCTTCTTCCATCTGCTGTAGTTCAGTGGTCTGGTTGGCAACCTCAGCGCTTCACTCCCAGGCTGAAAACCAATAAGCCCTGGAATTTCTACAGGAAACTGCTTCCAAAACGGCATGAAAAACCGGGGGTTCAATTGCAAGCGTTCTTGATTCCAAGAGGGGACGCTGTTTCCCACAGCTCAGCCGCCTTTGTGCCTGTCTCATGCGATAGGCAGGCCTACCGACACCTCCTGAATGCTAAGCAACGACTAGACACGGCCCCGCACTCAGCTGCGGACTTCTGCTTCTCTCGCAGCCTTGGTCTGCAGCCTCTTATGCCAGCTTTCGGGAACCGAGTGGTTCGTCATTGCGTCCTGGCGTCCGCAATTCAAGCAAACCCGAAGACACGCAAAATCCTTCCCCTCATCACCTTCAATCAACTTGGTGCCACGAAAATTGCAGGTGGACACTTGGTAACCAAACCAGTGGCGCAATGCCCGAAGTGACAATGCTCCACCTGCTGCGAGGTCAAGGCATGCAAACGCCGTGTACAAGTAACTGCTTCAGGCATCTAGGCTCGTTATTGCCGAGTCTCTGCCAGCTTCATCACAAAGAGTGAGATCTCTTCTTCCAGCTTGTGGGAGTGGGAGCTGATTGCCTCCGCTTGCACCTTTTGCTCCTGCAAGGACTCAGACATGGCCTGCTGCTCCAGCAGCAGCCTACGTTCTGCATTCGCCTAGTTTTGGCCCTCGCCTGCGCTTTGTCTTTGACGTTGGTGTGGACAATCTCTTGCAATGCCGTTCTCAGCGCGCTCTTGATGCTGTGGCAGGCGCAAAGCCTCCCGGCTGAAAGAGTGCGGGGATAGGGCCGGATGTTGTTTTTTTCTCCTCGGGGTCCGCAGAGGGCACTAAGTAAGGGCATTGTTTGGGGCACCTGCGTGAGCTAGCTCGTGCGCGGGGCTCTTGCAACCCAGGCGTGAGGTCGCCCCTCATACACTCACCTTCCACAAACACCTCTGTAGTCCCCGGGACCAAGCGCCCCAACCAAGTGCTAGCAACAAACCCTTCAGTGGATCTTTGCGAGTCTTCAATTTAGATCCCCTGGGCACGTGCAGGGAATGCAGCCATCCTGTCCTGCACAACCTTGCACAGCCAGCCAATGCACCGTGCAATCGGAATCCCGGAAGAGGCCGTGCAATTTGTTATGCCACGGAAGAGGCCGTGCAATTTGTTGTGCCACGACTTGCTTGCTGGCTTGCCTGCTGGCCTGCTTGCTTGCCTGCTTGCCTGCTGCCTGCCTGCCTGCCTGGCTGCCTGCGTGCGTGCTTGCTTGCTTGTTTGCTTGCTTGCTTGCTTGCTTGATTGTTTTGTTTGTCTTGCGTTGCTTTGTTTTGTGTTGCTTAGGCTAAGTTGTTATTCTAGTTGTAGGTGTGCTTGCTTGCTTGCTTGCTTGCTTCTGTTTTATTGCTTGTTGGTTGCCCACGCCGCACACCCACACCAACGCATGCAACACACACACACACATGTACACGCACGCACGGCAGCACGGCACGGCACGGCACGGCACGCACGGCAGCCCGTGTATGAGCACAGGACGCAGGCATGCTTACGCACTAACACCGCGCACCAGCAAGCAGGCAAACACAACAAGCAAGCGAGCAACCAACACATTCACACACACACACATACACGCACAAAGAGATACAAAGAAACAAACACCGCAAGCAGCAAACAAGAAGGCAAACAAGCAAACAAACGGAGCATACAAGCGTGCAGGACCGCACGGGCACCAAGCAGCAGGCATACCCACCGGCAACCAAGTGCAAAAGAGACAGGCCATGGCAATACGTCCCCGGAAGATAGCACGGCCCTGCCTCGACATCCCAGGGCGTGGCAAACCTGCGGTGGAGTGCTTGATCAGCTGCAATGAGGAATGATCCCGCTACAAGCATGGCACGAAGCTCAACATAATTTCCGTCCTGGCAAGGGTGGCTTTCGGGTTCGGTTGGCAGTGAGCGCTTGGGCTGGTTCGCTGGCTGGCTGGATTGATTTTGGTTGGTTGCTGAGAGTCTTGCAAGCTTCCCAGCTCGCAAAACAAGCTGCTTTAGCACCTCCCATTGCCCAAGCCAGCCGTTTCTACCAAGGATTGCTCCTGCGCAGGTGTTGATGCCGCTGTCACCGAAGAAGCCTCAGCCAGGCAACCGAGCCAGCCGCAACCAAACCGTGTGACGCAGGTGCTGCCATGTGGCACGTGTTATTGCAGCCCTTCTTCTCCGGGCAGCAGTCCTGAGCTTGTTTTGAAAAATGGAAAGTCAGTTGCTTGGAGGTTGGCAAGGAGTGCCTCCTGAGAGGGATTCAACATGGTCACCGTCCGCATCCGAGGCTCGTCTTTGCGGCAAATCAGCGGGTGGTTCTCGTAGCGCAGAACTGCGAGGCCAACAAATACACTCCCAAGTCAATCCCAGTCCCCGCCACCTTTGGTTGGTCAAATGCCATGTCCAGCCCATGTGACACCAGGATTCAACAAACCGGCCTATTGACACGGGGTGCCCACAAGTGAAGGACTTCAAGGAAACGTCTCCTTTTCACCAACCAAGGGTCATCTCGCGAAAGCTTCTTCCTGGTCCTGGCCTGTGGTGTTGCCCTTTTTCACGTTTTCGTTTTGGATCACTACAGCGCCGTCGTAGGCCTTGCCTCAGCAAGGCGGAAGGATTCTATTGGTTCAAAACACGTCAACAGCCAGAAACAACAGTGTCATTGTGAATGCGCACGCCAATAAACGCCATCACTGCAATCAGAAGCAACAGCTGCAAAGCCTCGCCGAGTCGCAATGGACATCCGCCATCTTGGCGGCCTCTCGCATCTTCTGAATATTGCGGACTTCCTGCATCACCTCCTCACCTGCGGAAGCCCCGAAGGCACCCAAAGCCCAAGGTTGATGTTTCTGTGTCCCTATACCTTTTTTTCCTCTTTTCCCGAAAGCATCGCGAAGGGTTCTTCCACAAATCCAGCTTGCGAGAATCGTAAAAAGTCCTCAGTTTTTTAACCTCGACCACGCAGATCTACTTACATAGCTGCTTACGCCGAAGCTCTACGCAAGCTCTACCTACGGTGTCGCCACTTAAACACCCGGACACTTAAATAGGTCAACAAAGATTTTACACTACCTCCGCCCGCGTTACCGCCAGCCCGGCCGACCAACTTAAATACCCGATTTAGATAGGTATTTCGCGTTACGTCTTGAAAGCCTGCCTCTGGCCCGGCCCGCCTTGTCAATTTGCTTGCTGTTTGTGGCCAATTACATCTTCCGCAACCGGTCGGTTGCTCTGGGATTTGTTAAAAAAACAGGCCCCGTCCCCAGACGCCAGGAGTTTCAAGAATTGAAGGAAATCTGGGAGTCCCGTCCGAGACAAGGGCATTCATGTCCTTCTTGCTTTCTGTCTCCACGAGCCATGTAGACAAGGCTTAGGCAGCTCAATTCAGCGCACTTAGCTCCGCAATTCCATGCATTTATGTTGCATGGAATAACGAAAGCGTTGGTCTGCAATTAGAAGCGTTAGTGTTGCGCCGACTGTGTGGCTTGGCAAGGGCCAGCGCGTGTGCTACGGATTCGGGGTCTCAAACAGGTCTGAAACAGGTCTGACACAGTCCCTCTCTCTCTCTTGCGTCTCTTTCTTCTCTTCCAATTCTTTTCATTCTGTGGGCTTAAAAATAAGCTCCTTCTTGCTTTCTTTCTCCACGAGCCACGTAGACAAGGCTTAGGCAGCTCAGCTCCGCAATTTCAGGCGTTTATGTGACATGGACAATGGAATTACGAAAGCGTTGGTCTGCAATTAGAGGCATCAGTGTTGCGCCGGCATGGCGCCTTAGGTTCTTGGCAGGAGCTGACGCGTGTGTGCTACGGATTCGGGGCGGGGTTTTGCGAGTATGAGATGGTCCTCTTGCAGGGATCTGAAACAGGTCTGAAACAGGCCTGACACAGGGCCCAATGCCAGATCCAAGCATTCTCTCTCTCTCTCTTTCTTGCTTCTCTTTCTTTTCTTCCAATTCTTTTCATTCTGAGATTTGTTTAAAAGAAGCTCCCATCCCAAGACGCCAGGAGTTTCAAGAATTCAAGGAAATCTGGGAGTCCCGTCCGAGACAAGGGGCATTCATGTCCTTCTTGCTTTCTGTCTCCACGAGCCACGTAGACAGGGCTGAGGCAGCTCAATTCAGCGCACTTAGATCCGCAATTTCCAGTGGTTTATGTAGAATGGAATTACGAAAGCATTGTTCTGCAATTGCAGGCATCAGTGTTGCACCATGTCCCAATTACTACCTCCACGGCCCGTGAGCCGCTGCGCTATACTGGTGCTGGGGATTCGGGGCAGGGTTTTGCGGATTTGAGATGGTACTTTCGCAGGGGTCTGAAACAGGTCTGACACAGGGCCGAATGCCAGATCCAGGCATTCTCTCTCGCTCTCTCTCTCTCTCGCTCTCTCTCTCTCTCTCTTTCTCTCTTTCTCTCTTTCTCTCTTTCTCTCTTTCTCTCTCTCTCTCTCTCTCTCTCTCTCTCTCTCTCTCTCTCTCTCTCTATCTTCCAATTTTTTCATTCTGAGATTTGTTTAAAAGAAGCTCCCATCCCAAGACGCCAGGAGTTTCAAGAATTCAAGGAAATCTGGGAGTCCCGTCCGAGACAAGGGGCATTCATGTCCTTCTTGCTTTCTTTCTCCACGAGCCACGTACACAGGGCTTGGGCAGCTCAAGACAGTGCACTTAGCTCCGCAATTCCAGGCGCTTATCAGGCATGGAGTTACGCAAGCATAGTACCGACATGGCGCCTTAGGTTGGACCTGTGCAATCTGACCTGGCTTGGCAGGAGCTAGCGCAACACAGCTGCTAGCAAGGCCTTGAATTGTGTTACGCCTTGTTTTTTACGTGGAAGGGGTCTGTCTCGGTGTTGCCATTTAAATATCCTAATTGAGATTTCATACTACCTCCAGGGCCCGTGAGGGTGGCCCGGCCAGCCACTTCAAATATCCGATTTGAACAGATGTCTTACACTACCTCCCAGCCCTGAAGCCCAGGCCCGGCCCCCACATATTTAAAAGTCGTCACCGTAACCTTGGCTCTGTTCCAAGTTGGCTCTGTCGCGGTCGCGGGTTCGATTCCCCCCTGGTCCGCGGCAGCTCCAGCTGGAGCTGCGGCTGGAAAATCGCAACTTTTACGTACGAAAGTAGTACGCGAAGTACACTTGCGCAGCTCCGGCTGGAATATTGCAACTTTTGAGTACCAAAGTAGCACACGAAGTAAACTTCCGCACCGGCTGGAAAATCACAACTTTTAAGTACGAAAGTGTTTCGCGAATGGAGGAAACTTGTTCAGAGCAACTTGCTGAGAGAACTTGCTTGGAGAACTTGCTTGGAGGAAATCGCGCCGACAACTTGCTCAGAGCAACTTGCACAGAGAACTTGCTTGGAGAACTTGCTCAGAGGAGCTCGCGCCAACAACTTGCTCAGAGCAACTTGCACAGAGAACTTGCTTGGAGAACTTGCTCAGAGAAACTCGCGCCAACAACTTGCTCAGATGCGCAACTGCACGGAGAACTTGCTAGGATTGCTAGGAGAACTTGCCGCCGCTGCTAATGCTTTCGGGCCACCCATCTTCTAGTTTTTTAGAGGTTTAAACGTGCCCCTGTGTTGGTGGACGCTAAACGAAAAGAGCAGGATGCCAAAACTTGGAAGAAGCTGCGAATTACACACCGGAATCTTGGCAAACAGCCACAATCTCAGGGCTGACCGGGGGAACACGGCCAGAAGCAAACCTCGCGTCGCATAACTCCGCAGGAGGCTGACACGCATCACGGAACTGGACCGGAGGTTCTAACTAGGGGACAAGGTTTCACTTGGGTAAGCAGCAATTTGATGGGTCAAGTTGGGATTTACCCAGATCTCATGAGCACAGGGGGCATGAGGGAAAGGAGAGAAATCGAGAAGCAAATGAGTAGGGAAAAGAGAGAGCGAGAGAGAGAGAGAGAGAGCGAGAGAGAGAAAGGGAGCAGCCACAAGTCATGTACAGGTGCAGGGCAATACTGCCTTGTCCAAAAGCATTCTCTGGCAAGTCTCGCTCATTCCAACTTGTGTGTGAATACGTGATGTGGCCACACACTCGCACGCTGCTATCAATCAGTCAGGCTTGGGAATCCTGGCTTTCCACCGAAGCATGGAGGGTGACTTCCACCGTTGTTCCATATAAGAGAAAGTATTGGCACGAACCCTCGCAATTGGAGCAGGGACTTGCAACGCACACCTTCTGCCAAAACGGAATGTCCGCCCCTCACATCTATATCATCTATCGCGTAGCCCCAGCTGAATTCCTCGAGCCAGCCATGTCAAGGCAAGCAGCTGCAAAGCAATCCTAGTTCCCAGCAGGCGTCAAGGCAGGACTGCTTCTCCTGAAGGCGAGCTGCCAACTCGGGAAGTCAGACTTGCCTTCCGGAACCGTCCGGAAACATGTCTTGGGACTCATTGCAACATGTTCGGCGCGAACAAACATCCACTTCGAGCCGCACGCGTGCTTTCCGCATGGGGCAAGACAGATTTGATCCCTTGCGATCACCTTCTGAAAACTCTGACAGAAGCACAATGCCAAGCCTAGAGCCAGAGCCATGAAACCTCTGCCCCCCTTCTTCCGGGTTGCGTTTGAAAGAAAATAAGGACAACCCACAGGACCATCAAATCTGCCCTGAAGTGATCAAAAGGCCAAGCTAACCCAAAGCCCAGTCCTTTCCCAGTGCCCATGACTCGACGTCGTTGATGCCCTTGGAGGTGTCCAAGGCGACCTGCGATGCAAGCTGCATCCAAGGGATGGGACCTTTGCAACAGGCCGCAGTCATCCGTCCCGGTGACGCGGGGGGTGAACAAACTGTCATGGCGTCCACGTGGCCTCCATGCGCTCGGCCCTCGTGGCGGCAAAATCCTCAGTGGAGTTTTTGGGGCTGATGGTGCTGGGTTTTGTATGCCCACCCTCGACCACCCTCACCCTATATCAACCCCAACCGAAATCCGCTCTATTTCAACTAGGCATCAATCCCAAAAACACCCCAAACTCCCCATGGCGCCAAGAAAAGCAGGAAAAGGGACATCAGCCAGTTGGACGGGGCACCCAGGATTGCATAACGAGGTACCTGCTTCCCGCAAATCGACCGGGTGACCAAGCGACTTCGCACGGGACCCTGCCAGCAGCTGGCTCGCCAAACGTAGGAAGAAGGACACAAGGCCCCATAAAAGTAGAAATGCCTTACCATGCCCAAAAAAGAGCAGAACCACGCCGTACGGCGGTCGAACCATGAGACTAGAGCGGGGCATGGCTTCCCTTACCTGTCACAGACTGCTTGCCAGGCGGCAGCCGCCAGCTTCGCAGCCATAAAGCTCTGGCTGTCTGGTGGCCTGCCAAATGCGATGGCCCATCTGAATGAAAGATCCGATGTCTGAAGCCTCTGGGGCAAGCGATTCTCACTCTCGACGCACAGACACACAGACACATAGACACACAGACACAGACTCAGCATTATGATCATGCCTCGACACAGGCAAGCATTTAAGCACAGACCGTTTGAATAGATTGCATGTTTATGGTTGCAAGAGCTTCTTCGGAACACAGCAGGCTTGCTTTGGCTTTTCTCTGAGAGACCTCACCTAAGCCACCACAAGTGGCTCGATTGGCCCACCGGTCTCCTTCACATGAACGGACCTTGGAGCTTGACTGGCGACCCACAAAAGATAGCACATATGAGTCAAGAAAAAAATAAAATGGTCAGCAAGAACCCGAAAAGACCTAGCAGGGTATCTTTAGGAAGACGTGTTGAGAAGTGCTTGGGAAGCAGAGGTTCGCCAGTCATGCTCAAAATTCGGACACAACCAGGCCTGAAGGCCACGCAGGGCGCCAAACATAGTATCCTGGCGCAAGATGACTCTTTCGACAGCCTGCGCATTTTTCTTCCTCCAAAGCGACCTGGGCAATCGAGAATCGTTCCAGCCCTATTGAATTGCTCCAGTAGCTCCCCAGCTCATTCCAGGTCTCCCCTGCATGTGCAAAGCTGCAATTCTGGCCATACAAATGCTTGAGGCGAAAAAACACTGTATGTACAGACACGTGACGCCATTTTGCTTATCAGTGGGGGTAGGAAAGCGCGCTTGGCTGCCCAGCTGCCCTGCCTGATGAAGTTCATGTGTTTAGCGAACGGGTCACACTTGAAGCTTGAGATGAAAGCTTCTGTAATCGCCAAAGAACTCCGCCAAATGCCTCCAACCCACTGCCTTGCGAGGACTTGCCCAGTCCATGAACAGTGGCCGCTGACGCTCAAACCTTGTTCTTTCGGGACAGCCAAGAGCCTACATGGCTTTCACGTCCCTCGAAGGCCTGACGTAACCAAAAACAGTCTCCGCAACCAGTGCCTCACCTTCAACGGCCTGATTTTCGCTCGCTCGTCAGGGCTGCACTGTATATCTACCAGGACGAGCGCATTCGCCTGCCACTGATTGGCGGGCTCGCCTGCGCGCACTAGGTGAAATCGAAACCTGGACCATTTGCTGCAATCAGCACCAAAAACAAACAAAACAGGAAACGGAGCTCCCACCAACGGTGAATGAAAATAGTTGCCCCAGCAACGGCATCCTTCTGACCCTTTAACCATCAAATTATATGCAATGCTGCGATCAGACTCGGGGATCTCACTCTGGCCGTTCCGGCCCATCTGCAAACCAGCCCCCTTTTGTTGGGGACTCCCAAGCCTTTAGCGAGCGAGGAGGTCCAAGAGCTTCTTCTCTGTCGCCTGAGCAATCCTCGGAAGCCCGCTCTGCGAAGCAAAGCGAACGTGTTCCCCCACAGGATGTCTTGCTCTTCTGTCCTGTTTGCGCGGGACAGATCACAACTCAGACAAAGCGGCTGCACAGCCTGCATGGGGCTTGCTGCAATCGGAAACCGATGCAAGCCAAACTTGCGGAAAAACTGAGCCCGGCTCCCCCTTGGGAAAAGGCACAGGCGAACTTCTCGCAGCTTGGATGCCGGGTGGTTGGCAAACCGTGCCTGCGCATGACTCATGCATCATGCAAAAAAGTGTTGCCTGGCGAACCAGGACAGTGATCGTTGCCACCAACCGATCTACACTTCGAATTCTGAATTCCTCTCCTCCTAGCGGCACGCGCATGGGCAACAACATCAACAGGCCGGGCCCTCTTGCAATTCCCCGACCGACACGAACTCCAGTCGAGGCACGTGAGCGGCCGCCAGCTCCTGCGGATCAGCAGGGAAAGCTTCAAAATCAAAAAAAACGCGGCAGTGCCTAGGCTACTCAAAGGGTTTGGCCCCACCTTGTCAATTAATCAAGGCCTACGTTTGTGTTCGGTTTACACCCCCCAGAAACGACTCCGGCAAAACACCCCAAGCTGCGAGTGTACCGAGTGCTACTCAGAACATAACTCACCTCCAGCGGTATCCAATTGAAACCTTGGGACAGGCGCCAAACTTTGGCCATTTGGCCAGCTCACCCCCTGATGCCTCAAGGATCATGTCCAAAGGATTGTCGAATACGCCGCCACCAACCTCGGAACCGCACACACACATATTGCAGTGCGAGGGAGAAGCAAAAGAACTCACCCTGCCCCCTGCCTGTCGACAAAGGGCTCTCCTGCCATTGGATGTAATCTTCGAAGGCATTGAAGCCCGTGCCATGTCTCCATATGCTGTTTCAAGCCACCATGTCTTGTGAAAGCGAACATGGGATTTAATGGGTGGAGCTCTGCCATATACCCTCAAGCGCCAGCACTTGTATGTATCTAAACTTGTGCGCGCGGGAGCTCAGAGAAAGAGCAAGGGAGAGGCGGCGAGAGAGAGAGAGAGAGAGAGAGAGAGAGAGAGAGAGAGAGAGCGAGAGAGAGAGAGAGAGAGAAGCTGTGCGCGCTCGTGTGTGTGTGTGTGTGGGTTGCTGCGTTGCGCTCTCTCTCTCTCTCTCTCTCTCTCTCTTGTTGGTGTATTGCTGTGTGTCTGTGTCTCGGTGTGTCCGTGTGTCCGGGTCTGTGTCTCTGTCTCTCTCTCTCTCTCTCTCTCTCTCTCTCTGTCTCTCTGTGCGTGTTTGCGTGTGTATGTCACCCAGGCCAAGGAGCCAGGGTGAGCAAGAGTAGGCGGCGCCCACGCTGGATGGCTGCCAAATAGGCGCCTGTACTCGAATGGCAGAAAGATCCGCCAATGTTTACAAGGCACGCCTACACACATTGTTCAATTCTACCATTCTAGCACTCGCACACTGATGGCCGCTACGGAGGTGTCACCAGCCAACAACAACAACAACAACAACAACAACAACAACAACAACAACAACAACAACAACAACAACAACAACAACAACAACAACAACAACAACAACAACAACAACAACAACAACAACAACAACAACAACAACAACAACAACAACAACAACAACAACAACAACAACAACAACAACAACAACAACAACAACAACAACAACAACAACAACAACAACAACAACAACAACAACAACAACAACAACAACAACAACAACAACAACAACAACAACAACAACAACAACAACAACAACAACAACAACAACAACAACAACAACAACAACAACAACAACAACAACAACAACAACAACAACAACAACAACAACAACAACAACAACAACAACAACAACAACAACAACAACAACAACAACAACAACAACAACAACAACAACAACAACAACAACATTATGATTTTTTTTAGTCAGCCAGAGACTGGAAGTCTTGAAATATTTAGTTTTTCAAAAAATCATCGATTTGGTAATCCTCAAACCTATCCAAAAATCATCCTACAATCATCCTCTGCAAAAAACATCATCGAAAAATTATCCTCTCCCTCCTCTTTCATCCCTCCTCCACATCGCTTCTATTCTCTGCGTTTCCATTTTCCTTTCCTTCCCGTTCCTTCCCGTTCCTTACCCTTTTCCATTTCCCTCTTCTTGTTTCCATGTTCCATCTCCTTTCTCTTTTTTCTCTTCCTTGTCCTCTCCAATTCTATTTGCCCTGCCCTGTTCCTTCTTTCCCTTTTCACTCTTCCTCTTCCTGAGACTGACAGGAAAAGCAAAAAGTTGCAAAACCCTCCTTTTTTTCTACAAAATCATCGAAAAATCATCGAAACATCTTCGAAACATCATCCCCAACACACATTTTCTGGACCAAACCCCCTTCACAGTGGTCAGGAAAGCAAAACGTTGCAAAACCCTCCTGTTTTTCTTCAAAAATCATCGAAAAATATTCGAAAAATAATCCCCAACCCACACTTTCTGGACCAACCCCCCTTCACAGTGGTCAGGAAAGCAAAAAGTTGCAAAACCCTCCTGTTTTTTTTTTCTGTTTTTTTTTCTTTTCTTTTTCGAAAAATCATCGAACAATCTTCGAAAAATCATCGAAAAATATTCGAAAAATAATCCCCAACCCACATTTTCTGGACCAACCCCCTTTCACCGTGGTCAGGAAAGCAAAAAGTTGCAAAACCCTCCTGTTTTCTTTTTCAAAAAAATCATCGAAAAATCATCGAAAAATCTTCGAAAAATCATCCTGACCGGAATCCATCTTCAAAAAATCATCCAACAAATTATCCTGCCTGACATCAACCTTCCAAAAATCATCCTCCCTATTTTCCTCCCCTGTTCTCCAGCCTGGAACACGATTTGAAACGAGCTTCAACACGGCCACCGTCAGACATTTCTTGCGCAAAATGGCTCCAACTAAATTGCTTCATGGCTGAAGCTGAAGGAAACCCACCAAAGCAAGCCAAGCAAAGCCAAGCCCAGCAAATCAAAGCAAAGCAAAGCAAGCGAGCGAAGCAAAGCAAAGCAAAGCAAAGCAAAGCAAAACAAGTGAGCGAGCGAGCGAGCAGGCAGGCAGGCAGGCTTGAGGATAATGAAAAACGATGAGGATAAAAAATGATAATCTGGAGGATAATGACAAACGATGAGGAAAAATGGATAGTGTTGAGGATCATGAAATCGATGATTTTTTGAAAAAATAAATATTTCAAGACACCTCAGTGTGTGGCTGCAAAAATGGCATAACAACAACAACAACAACAACAACAACAACAACAACAACAACAACAACAACAACAACAACAACAACAACAACAACAACAACAACAACAACAACAACAACAACAACAACAACAACAACAACAACAACAACAACAACAACAACAACAACAACAACAACAACAACAACAACAACAACAACAACAACAACAACAACAACAACAACAACAACAACAACAACAACAACAACAACAACAACAACAACAACAACAACAACAACAACGGTGTTCTCATTGCCCCCTTAGTGGGACCACACAGTGGTGGCTGTCCAAACTGCCTGGAGGTTTGATGACTAGCACTGTCAAGCCAAGCAAGCATGTCTTTGACCATGTCATCGGTGTTCAAGGCTTTTATAAAAGGAGGGTTGATATTATGTTATATAGAGTGCACAGAATACACCGACGGTGCTTTGCTAAAAAAATATGAAATCTGAGCAACTTGGGGTTTCAATATGTTTCAATCAAAGTGCCATCGCTACGAAGCAACTATCCACACAGCTCCTTGATAGACAGCCCGTAAAGCGCAGCGGGTGAGGCTGAGCAGCTGCTCTTGCGCGGGTCGCGTGCCTGGAGCAAAGTGAGGCCGGCACGGGCCCCAAATAGCGAAGTGCCTTTGGGTTCCTTGCTTGGCGGCCTTGGGCATCGTTTTTCCTCCCAGTTCTTGCGCTCTCATGGGCTCCTGGAGTTAAAACACGTTACAACAACTTTCCTCTTGGAGGGGTCTCTGTGAGACCATGCTGGCGGGTGGGGGCGCAAAAGGCAAGATCAGTTTAGCGACAGTCCGGCAAGAGAAGGGACCCGTCGACAACAATGTTTGCGGGCTCCATGCTTTTTGTCAGGAAAAGCGAACCTCTGTGTTTAGCTTTGCCAGCTGACAAACAAATCCTCTTAACCCAGCGGGCCAGAACTGTGGCTGGGGAAAGAAACATGAAACATACAAAACGTGCCAAAACACTTTTTTCGTTCCCCTGACTCATGAGCCATAACGGTTCTGCCCCGGAACTGAGGTCTCAGCAATCGAACCCATCGGCCTGGGGAGTTCCAGTTCACCGAGGCCGACAGTACCTGGTCCACCTTCGCGTAGGGAGCGGCCAGCACCCGCACCTTGAAGTGGTCGTCCGAGCGCCCGAAAACCACCTGCCGGCTGCCGGTCACTTTGACCGCAGTTTTGGGGTCCCGAAACGGAGAAATCGCGGCAAGAGGCGAAGGGCACGAACGTGCAGGTCAACTGTGCGGCATGTCACCGGGCTTGAGATTGAGTCCACTTCAGGCTGGCTGGCGTGGATCTGCCAATAGCTGAGGTGGATTCATGGCCACAGCGAGATTGCCGCAGGTACCATGGTTGCACATGGTCTAGTTGCACCCCTGCCTCTGCATCAGCATGAATGCCAACCTTGGGGAGCCGGACACGAGCTTCCCACTTGCCACTCTGAGCTTCCCAATTGAGGCTGGGGGGTCCCCCCACTGCGGCCGAACAAGTGAAACTATTCGCGTTTGGGTTGCCATGACTAACGATCTGCAAACAAGCTATTCAAGCTTGGGCACCTGGATTTGCTGAGCCACTTCTTCTATCCTCAGCTGCCAGGGCAGGTCAGCGCACCGCCCACACAAACGCCCCAGCTTGGGCGCAAGGGATGTGCCTGATTGGCCGTCTGCCCTGAAATGAGAAAGCATCATGACTTGACGGCGAAACTTATTTCAGCGCCCGATCAAAACCCTCTTGACTGAAGCGATTAGCCCGCTCTCCTGCAAGAAACAGGACAAAACTCCTCCCTGCCATCCAAAACCTCCCCCCCGCCGCCCCCCCCCCGGCCCCCGGCCCCCTGCCCGCCCGGGCGCACCTCGCATCCGGCAGTGGCTCCTCCTCGCCGGTGAGCGTGAGCTTGCCGTTGACGCAGCGCGCAAAGAAGCGCTCCACGTGCTGCAGAAGCTCCACCTGATCAGGAGCGCTTTGGTTTGCATGACTTCATTGCCTCGGGGTGAAGTTGAGCTTGTGCTTGATTTGAGCTGACTTGCAGGTAAGAGTGCGGCATAGTGCTTGGTGGCAATTATGTTTAGATGTGTCATTGAGCCATATGGAGGGCGTAACGTTCCAACCAAGGGGCGGGGGCATGCAGGGGGAGAGTGAAATTCTGCCAACAGCCGGAAATTCCATACTGGCCAACGTACGAGCTCGCATGAAAACACAGCTCAGCGTAAAAACGACTGTGTCTCATGGCGTTTAGCTGCCAAGGAGTTTTGTCCGAACCTGCTAAAAGCCCAGGCCTCATTGAATTGTGGAAATGCAAATTCGGTTGTTGCTAGAGCTTTCGGGCCATGTCCGCCTTACCCGTGCCCAGTTGCATTGTCTTGTCGAAATGCAACCCATCCACGGCACGATGCGTCTAGCTTTGCACACTGTTCTTGCAGTTTGTGATCACCTGAACCCCCAGGATGGGGGGATGGAGGGAAAGTGGCTAGCCAGGAAAGAGTACCATGCTCTGTACCTCTCAACGGCCAAAGGCGCAAGTGGCCAATCAATACCCCAGTGCGAACACGTGGGCAACACGCCGATCGGTCGTCCCAAAGTGCTCGCCTGTTGGGACTTGCTCTGGCCCCAGGTGCTTGGCTCGGTGCCAGGGGCCTCGGGAGGACCCAAGGACAAGACGCTACATGACTTGTTGACACAGGACTCTCGTGGAGTATGAGGGGACCCTCATCACTTTGCGACTTCATGATGCATGTTGATGCATGTTCCTGGGGCATGCTGCGAGGCATGTTGGCGCCTGCTTAGCCATGCTTCTGACAGAGGCATCTCGCGGTTGCTGAGGAAGATGACGCATGACAACGCTGAGGCATATTGCCAAGTTGCTGGGAATACAGAGCATGTTGAGGCATGTTGACGCATGCTGAAGCATGATGCTCAGGCTGCTTCAAGTTGCTTCACAGAAGTTTAGTGGGAATGGCCGAATGGCATGCAATGATGAAATATTTCGGTCAAAGGCCGCACCTGAAGTTTCAAGCCCCTCAGCCCGTTCAAGCCGAGTGTGCTTCTTTGTTCGTCTTTCAAACGTCAACAAAAACTGGCCGCGCAATTCTGCGTGCTCGGTCTCGGCCCCAAGCATAGAACGCATAGTGTGCCCGCAGCAGGCTGGCAGCCGGCACCCCAAAGGACGCTGCAGGGCCCTGCCGCTGACAACCCCAGCCCAAAATCAGAATGTGACTTGAAGGCTCACGGCAGATGTTGAGGCAAGCCAGGCCCTGATTGACCCAAGCACAGGACACAATGAAACCCACCTGTCCAATTTCTGAAGGGAAAAACACTATGACAGCACTATGCTTGGCGATTGGTGCCACTTGTGTTCCTGCTTGCGCCCATTGCTCCATCCACAGTGAGACTTTTGACCCCCTTCCTTTGTCACTTCCCAACCTGCCCCGTGACAGACCGAATTCAAGTGTTGCCCCAAAAAAATATCCCAAGGTGCATGCCCACCCAACGCACAACCTGGCAAAAGAAGTGCCTCAATGGAAACACTTGCCCCGAGGGTCTCCTGAGAGCCTCTTTCTCGCTGCCTGGGTGGCATCGACGCAGTACTTCTCAACCAAGCAGCCATAGTCTGGCAGGCATCCTCGTGAGGGATTCCTGGCTTAGCTACGCTAGCACCCCCATTGCCTGCCATTTGAAATTTGTGGTTTATATTTGAGTATGGAGGCAACAATCAGCCATGTGCTCCCAACACGTCTCAGCAGCCCAGCTGCTCCAAGCAGTTGAAGTTGGACGCTATCTGCACCATTGCCTCAGCCAAATCTGCCTGCCCTGACGGCCTTCGCTCATGCACGCATCTGCAGAAGGCCTAGCCTTAAGCCAGAGCCTATTTTTTGGTTGCCGTGCGCCTGCAGGGGAAAAGGGCAACCCCCCACGCTCTTGAAAGCAATGGGAATAAAGGAGCTGCACAGCTGGAATGGCTGCGGAACTGTTGGGATCGAATTTCTGAGGGCAGCGCCTCGTCCTCGGTCTTCAGCTCTGTCTGCAGCTGAGCAATGTCACAGCTGTCCACCACACGTAGCGCTGCTTTGCTCCTAAGGGCCAGCACTGCTCCAACTCCCTGATCTGCGACCGCTTCGGGGGAACACTTGGGGCATTCGGAACCCCTCCTCTTGGCTTTGCTTCGGAGGCCAAGGCTTTGTAGCCACAAAGGTGAAGCTCAAGCCAACTTCCAACACATGGCTTGGACTTCAGACAACACATTCCAGCGAGCTCCTCTCGGATGCCTCTGGCAACGCGCGCACCGCAGCCTCCAACTCCTGAGGCCCGAGACACGCTGGGTGTGGCCCCAGCCTTCAGCGAAAGCCGAATCCTGCCAAACAGGAACAGCGAACGAGTCCTGCACTGTCTTGCACTCAAAGGTGCCAGCTGGCCACTCTTGCCCAGTGCTTGCATTCCTCGGCCAAAGGGTGTAATCGGAAAAAGGCAACAACACACCACGACAGCACCCCACAAGAACACAAACAAGCTGCGCACGAGCAACAACTTACGCCTCATCGTGGGAAAGAAGGAACAGCGCTGCGTGGCTCCGCTGATGGGCAACAGGAAAATCACTAAGCAACCAGCCCTGGCCACCATCTGCAACCTGATTCAAAAGCGCCGCCCCGGCTCCAAGCTGCCAAGAGGCACAAAGCTGCTTCCGTTGAACACTGCCTGAGAACAGCGCGGAACACAAGGTGTTGGTTTCCGGACTGCGCCTAGGACCTAGGAAGTGGCAGTTTGACGCGCACATTGCAGGCCTTTCGGGGAGCAAGGGATGCACGAGCACTCCGGTATGTGGCCAGCGCTCGAACAATTGGACGCAAAGCAGCCCTCCTGAGCCCAACCCATACCCTTCAAGGCCTTTGTATGGCTGCCCGGGGGGGGGGGGGTTTTCCAAACCAAGGGGGATGGAGCACCATCATACAGCGAGATCCAAAGCATAGGTTCTGTGAGCCGTCCTCTGAGGGAAAAAGATGCCTCAACACAAAGCGGAGCTCCCAAAAGTTATCGTTCCCCATACCTACCTCTCACTGCCCGGCCTCCCGGTTGCTCAGAAGCTCCCGCTCGTTCACGCCAACAAACCACCTGGAATCCCGCGAGCAAACGCCAAATTCGTCCCCGCTCTCGCATGCGCGCGCACACACACACGCACACCTACCCGCCCACCCACACCCACACCCACACCCACACCCACACCCACACCCACACCCACACCCACACCCACCACACCCACCACACCCACCACACCCACCACACCCACCACACCCACCACACCCACCACACCCACCACACCCACCACACCCACCACACCCACCACACCCACCACACCCACCACACCCACCACACCCACCACACCCACCACACCCACCACACCCACCACACCACACCCACCACACACCACACCCACCCACACACACCCACACCACACCCACCACACCACACACCCACACCACACACACCACACACACCACACACACCACACACACCACACACACACACACACACACACACCACACACACCACACACACCACACACACACACACACACACACACACACACCACACACACCACACACACCACACACACCACACACACCACACACACCACACACACCACACACACCACACACACCACACACACCACACACACCACACACACCACACACACCACACACACCACACACACCACACACACCACACACACCACACACACACACACCACACACACCACACACACACACACACACACACACACACACACACACACACACACACACACACACACACACACACACACACACACACACACACACACACACACACACACACACACACACACACACACACACACACACACACACACACACACACACACACACACACACACACACACACACACACACACACACACACACACACACACACACACACACACACACACACACACACACACACACACACACACACACACACACACACACACACACACACACACACACACACACACACACACACACACACACACACACACACACACACACACACACACACACACACACACACACACACACACACACACACACACACACACACACACACACACACACACACACACACACACACACACACACACACACACACACACACACACACACACACACACACACACACACACACACACACACACACACACACACACACACACACACACACACACACACACACACACACACACACACACACACACACACACACACACACACACACACACACACCCGCACCCGCACCCGCACCCGCATCTGCACCCACACCCACACCCACACCCACACCCACACCCACACCCACACCCACACCCACACCCACACCCACACCTACACCCACACCCACACCCGCACCCGCACCCACACCCACCCACCCACACACACACCCACACACACACTCACCCACCCACACACACACACACACAGATGTCTCCCTTGCACATGGACTTGCCGCAGGGGGAGACTATGGGACCCTATCCGTTCAAGCTACTTCACTTGCCGGCTGCGCAACCTGCAAGAGCCAAGGATCAGCCAGCGTCGATCCCCCTTTCAGGCAAAGGTGCTGCATCCACCCGCGGGCGCCCACCAGAGTGGACTTGTCAAGCTCTGCCATCCTTGCGTCGGCGCGCATGTCTCACAGCCTCCGCATACACTTTCACCTGTGCACCCAACCTCCCAAACTGCTGCCTTTCGCCAAAACAAACCCTAAGCCCAAGCCTCACCCCGCCTGCTCCGTCGTTGGCAGGCTGCTCCCATCCCTCTGTGGCAGAGCCAAAACGACTCCACCGCACAAATCCCCCAGCCTTGAGTAACTTCTACCAGCCGCCCAAGTTGCGTGCTCAGATATGAATCAAGGAGCACTTTGCTGCTAAGAAGCACTCAAAGCCGGTGTCCCCTGTACGACTTGAGGATTTTAAAGGGCATCTGCTGTAGCAGTTGGTCAAGAGCACAATCTGGTCATTTCTGCATGCCACTTGCAGTGACGGCAGGCTCTACCACTGGGTGCTTCTGACCCTTGCTCTTCGTTGCTTTCCCCAATGACTAGCAGCCTAGGTCGGCTTTGGGCCTCAGGCCGGGGCCCTGGGCGCAACTTCTGTGCGATCCACATGGCCAGAGTTGCTTTGCAACTGGCCCAGCGAAGTCATCGCCAGTGCCTACGTGGCTGTTCATGAGAGCCACTTCTGTCCGCTAAAGCGACACCCTTAAATTACACCCTTACACTCTGGAATACAGGGGAACCACCTCCAAAAGACGTTTTGAGAACGAAGGACCCAGACCTATTCCTAGCTGCGATCCCTTCCTTTGGCACCTTTGACTGTGGCCGGAAACGGACGAGGACTACAAACTGAGCAACCAGCCTTACGCGGCGAGCAGCGCGCAGCTCCACAGCATGCCGAATGCCCATGCGCAACCTGGCAACTTACTAGCCCAAGGCAACAGAAGCCGACATAAGCAGACGGGCCAAGGCACACTATCCCCAACTCGTTCAATTGAGCATGTGCGAGGGCAGACTTCCCCCCTCATGCAGCACCCTTTTCGGCAGCCACGCCGGGCATTGTCGGCATATTGTCGGCGCATCCTCCAGCAAGCGCTCCAATCTCTGAGGCGAATCCCTAGGCAGCTCCTGGCCACTCGTGTCTACCAGTCGCAGGTTCGCCACAGGCTGCCCCAGCACCTCCGCTACTTCCAGGTACATCTCCAGCAGCGGCATCTCCGGCGGCCGCACTGCCTGCGAATGTAACTTGATGACTTGGTGACCTGATGTTGCCCAAGTGGCACCAACTAACCGCTGAAACCGAAAAAGCAGATTCCGAGAAGCCAATGGATGTGACCTTTAGATGGCGCACCCGTCGCCGGCATTTCGGATTCTTTCCCAGGCCTAGCCCTCTTGCCGCAAGCAGCTTAGGTAAGGCGGTCAACCCTTCAGTTTGTTGCCTGCCTCCAGCACGCTTCCCCCCGACATGTAGGTGCAGCTCACCCGCAGCTGGCCCTCCGGTTGCCGCATCGCCCGCAGTGTCACCACCACAAGCCGCTTGTTTCTCCCCAGCGCCTTCTGCAGCCTCCGACGTCACAAGACCCCTGCGGAATGCCTAGTTCGCGTGTGGACATGCAGGGCGAACATTCCAATAATGCAATGGAAACGAAAACAGGGGATGGGCTCACATGTGTCATTGCGGCCAACCCTTTTGCTCAAAGGGGGCAGTCGAAAGGCTAAACGATTGGGTCTGGGCATGGGAACAATGTGTGTCATGTTCAAACTTCAACCTCCCACAGTGACATGACAACCTTCCCGCTGTGAGAAGCACAATTACTGGCTTCCTGGCCCGCCTGAAGCATGGGAAGAAAGCAGCCAGCCCAGGCATCCAATCTTCCTCTTTAAAAAAAAATGACCATCCACTTTTCCAATCATCCAAATTCATCAGTGATCATCCAATAAAACAAGCCAATCACCCCACATCATCCCATATCATCCAACCTTCCTCTTCCCCACAGCCCATCGCCATCGCCTCGCGCTGGGCTCCGTGAGCTGCATCGCCGTGAGCCTCTCCGAGGCCTCCGCCGCGGAGACCAGCGCCGCAGCGCCTGCGCCGAGGCGGTTGAAGCAGAGGTCCAGCAGCTCCTCGGAGCCGCGACGCGCGCGAGCGCTGGGCGTGGCTCAAAATTGAAGAGCTGGGGTTGCGCAGGTTTTGCCCTTTGTTTCCCTAAAAGGGGCCCAACAACGGGTACCACTTTTTTGAGCCACAGCCAGCTCTCGACCCCCACCACGCTAGGCTGTTTGCCCCTAGTCCTTGGCATTTTTCGAACGAGCCTAAAAGAGGCCAGAAGGAACCACCCTGGTCATACCTCAACATGTGGGCTGTGACTGGTCCTTGGGTCCACGTTTGACTGGGTATGATGGGTGGGGGGGTTCCTGAAAACGAGGGGTGTGAAAGAAGTATCTTCCAATTGGTTTCCAACTTGAAGCACCACCCAAAAGAGGCTCGCAGCTTAACAACACACCCGACTGACTCAGAGACCGGGTGACTGCATTCAACTCCCAAGTGAAGCACAATCAAGGACAAGTCTGCTAGATAGGAGAATCGGAGGATACCAGGAAACAGCCACACGCACACAACCCTGTAACTATACATCGCTTGCGCGCACACTTCCACACATATATGCACATATACTCTTATACATATATGTATATTATATCTATATTATATCTATATATATATATATATATTTGATATATTTTCTATGTATGATGTAAGCGTGTGTCAAACCCACAAGTTCCCATTCGAGGCACCAATTTGGACCGAGGCAGTGCTTCCGCCAGGGCCATCGCCCCAGGGCCACTGATTTGGTTGTCCCGGAGGTGCAGCTGCCTGGGCTCGAAGGATGGGCCTTGCCGTCTTACATGCATGGCAAGGCTGTTGGGCTTACGGGCTTAAGAAGGGCTTATGTAAGAAACACCTTCTGGTGCCACCTTATGTATTTGGGGCGGGGGGGACATCTGGGGGAGCGTTGCACGCGAGCCGAAACTAAACATGTATCTAAGTTGTTCAGTGACCGACACCCCGCAGCTCATAGTGCCGCTCCTGGTTCACCCCTTAAAGCAGCGGCCTTGCTTCCTTACATTAACAGGCGCTGGGCACGTCTGGCATTCTGCCACGGAATTCAACGCTTCTTTGCGGCATACATTGCCATTTTTGTCACGAGCGCGCCCAAAGCCCAGACACGATGACAGCGCACAGCCTGACAAAACCCTAAACGCAAACCAAAAAGGGAAACTGAAAGGTCAAAAGGCAAATTGCGGCAACACCACTTTTGTATACTTTTGTATTTGCCTTTTGCATACCCCTGCCCATGCCCTCGGAAATGCTCCTTCTAAAATAGGAAAGGCGAGTTGGCAACCAAGAAGCCGAGAGTGTGAGCAAGCGCCCAACTTGGGTACACCGCTCATTTTGGTCCCAAGTTTTGCTCTTTGGGCTGGCCATTTGGCCCGTTTTAGCCCACCTGAATGCTGGATCCAGAGAAGCCAAACCGGCAACACCTTTCAGTTTGCTTGTTGAATTCATTGTAAAACCACCCGCCGACCATACGAACAATGCTTTGCGACATTTTCTCTTGCAAGCGCCCCCTGTTCCATCATTGACAAGCCTACATCAAATCTATAGTCGAGCGCTCGCTTTAGGATCCAACCCCGATGTCCCTACAGCGGATCCTCGACATGGAACCCTCCCTTGCGCCGCCCGTGCAGCTCGCCTGAGGCGCGTCTGCGGCAGCACTGCCGCGAGCGCTTGCGCCCCAGCATCCCCAACGCGATTCACCTGGAGCTCCAGCACCAGCAGGCCCCTGGGGTTGCTGAGCCCCTCGGCCAAGTTCACCACCTTGGCCGCAAGTCGTCAGTCATCCATATGTTTGGGTCCCTGAGGTCCTGAAGTTCTGACCTCTTGTGCCTGGTGCCCACTTCCCAGTCCACAATCTCCTGGTACAACCCAAGGATTTCCCGAGAGCATGCAAACGTATGGAATTGGGAAATGAGTGTTTCGGCTCAAAAAGAACTCGCTTTCGTTCACTGGCAATGGATGGTCAGATCTTAGCTGGCCACCACCACTAACCAGGCTCGAACCAAGTCAGGGTGACTGACCTGGTGGTTGGGGAAACCCAATCAATGCTCAACATCCTGCTTGTCCAACCTGACGCCAGTGCGCAATTCTTCTCTGATCCAACACATTCGAAACACCCTTTTGGGCTGAACAGCGGCTTGCCGCAACCCGAAGCGTAAGCCAAGGCGCGCCCTCATCGCCCAAGCCGTTTTGGCTCAGGTCCAACTGTGTAAGGGCCGAGGAGGCCAACGTCTGCGACAGCTGGGCCGCCCCAAGCGCTCCGATCCTGGCAGGGAAGGACCACTGAACATCAGAGCTTGGGGCCTAGGGCTACCAAAACCACCTGCTTTACAAAGGGATCCTCCAGGCCAGCCTGTAAAGCCGATGTTTAACTGGCCCAAGCCTAAGCCAATCGCCAGCCCTGTGGAAACCGGCGGAAAACAAACAAATGAAACAAAACACAACAAAAAAGATTGGGGGCCGGGCCCTCCGACCGTGGTTGCACGACTCTATCTCAGCTAACAAGCACGTGTCCTGATAGAAATGTGGCAAAGCACTGCGCACCCGAACAGATTGAAATTCATCTCTGAGCAGTCAGCGGCGAGGTGATGGGAGACACAAGGCGCATAAACAGCTAAGCAGAACGGCGGCAGCTCAGTCTGGAAGCCCATATCCGGCAGATAGGTTTGAATACGAGGGCAGCCAATGGAAAGGTTAGTTGCTTTCGCCTGGGAGGTTGGGCGGGCGGGCGGGCGGAACCCACCTTCAACCCAAGCTTGCAGGGATGCTCGAACCGGTGATGAAAAACTAGAGGACGATTGGCCCGAAAGCATTTTTCCACAGGTGCTCACCCAGCTGCGGAGACACCTTTTTACATCGCTGCGGCGAGCGTGTCTGCGCGCGGCGCTGCTCAGTGTGTATGGTCACATGAGAGCTCCATCTCATCATCCTACTTTCCTCTCGAACTGCGCCGCGCGATTTCTCACGAAAGTGGTCTGCGCAAGCTGCATTGTTCCAGGCTGCTGCGCGCAAGTTGCTCTCTGCAAGCTGCTGCGCGCAAGTGCTCTGTGCAAGTTGCTCTGCGCAAGTGCTCTGAGCAAGTTGCTCTGCGCAAGTGCTCTGCGCCAGTTGCTCCGCGCAAGCGCTTTGCGCGTGTGCTCTGCGCAAGTTGGTCTGTGCAAGTTGCTCTGCGCCTGCTCTGTGCAAGTTGCTCTGCGCAAGTGCTCTGAGCAAGTTGCTCTGCGCAAGGGCTCTGCGCCAGTTGCTCCGTGCAAGCGCTTTGCGCATGTGCTCTGTGCTCTGTGCAAGTTGGTCTGTGCAAGTTGCTCTGCGCAAGTGCTTTGTGCAATTGCTCTGTGCTGTGCAAGTTGCTCTGCGCAAGTTGCTCTGCGCAAGTGACTCTGCGCAAGTTGCTCTGCGCAAGTGCTGCCGGAGCTGCGGGGGTGTGCTCCGCGTACTACGTTTGTACTTAAAAGTTGCGATTCTCCAGCCGGAGCTGCGGGGGTGTGCTCCGCGTACTACGTTTGTACTTAAAAGTTGCGATTTTCCAGCCTGAGCTGCGGGAGCACGCTCCGCATACTACGTCTGTACTTAAAAATTGCGATTTTCCACCCGGAGCTGCAGGAGCACGCTCCGCGTACTACGTTTGTACTTAAAAGTTGCGATTTTCAAGCCGGAGCTGCGGGGGTGTGCTCCGCGTACTACGTTTGTACTTAAAAGTTGCGATTTTCCAGCCTGAGCTGCGGGAGCACGCTCCGCACACTACGTCTGTACTTAAAAGTTACGATTTTCCAGCCGGAGCTGCAGGAGCACGCTCCGCGTACTACGTTTGTACTTAAAAGCTGCGATTTTCAAGCCGGAGCTGCCGCGGACCAGGGGGGAATCGAACCCGCGACCGCGGGATTGCGAAAGCAGGCGCGCAAACCACGAGACAACTTCCAAAGGCCGTTTCGCGAGCAAGAATATTGCACGGCGCCACAGCGAGAGCGCTTCGACACGCACAATCTCCGCAGAGGGTTCGCCGAGACTAAGACAAATTCGCACGGCGCCACAGCGAGAGCGCTTCGACGCGCACGATCTCCGCAGAGGGTCGCGCGCGCACCGCAGAAATCGTAAAAAGTCCTCAGTTTTTGAACCTCGACCACGCGAATCTCCGCAGAGGGTCGCGCGCGCATGCAGAAATCGTAAAAAGTCCTCAGTTTTTGAACCTCGACCACGCGAATCTCCGCAGAGGGTCGCGCGCGGCCAGCAGAAATCGTAAAAAGTCCCCAGTTTTTGAACCTCGACCACGCGAATCTCCGCAGAGGGTCGCGCGCGGCAGCAGAAATCGTAAAAAGTCCTCAGTTTTTGAACCTCGACCACGCGAATCTCCGCAGAGGGTCGCGCGCGCATGCTAAAAATCGTAAAAAGTCCTCAGTTTTTGAACCTCGACCACGCGAATCTCCGCAGAGGGTCGCGCGCGCACCGCAGAAATCGTAAAAAGTCCTCAGTTTTTGAACCTCGACCACGCGAATCTCCGCAGAGGGTCGCGCGCGCACCGCAGAAATCGTAAAAAGTCCTCAGTTTTTGAACCTCGACCACGCGAATCTCCGCAGAGGGTCGCAATCCCGAGCGACGATCAAACTCCCGCCCCGGCGCCTTAGAAACCTAAACTAACTTACATAGCTGCTAACGCCGAAGCTCTAAGCTCTATGTAACTTGGCTCTATGTAACTTGGCTCTATGTAACTTGGCTCTATGTAACTTGGCTCTATGTAACTTGGCTCTATGTAACTTGGCTCTATGTAACTTGGCTCTATGTAACTTGGCTCTATGCAACTTGGCTCTATGTAACTTGGCTCTATGTAACTTGGCTCTATGTAACTTGGCTCTATGTAACTTGGCTCTATGTAACTTGTCCAAGGGCTCCGCACGGAAGAACCCTTCGCGATGCTTTCGGGAACACTGAAAATGGTAAACGATCATAGCCCAGAATTCCCTACAAAATTCCGGATCTCACGAAGTTGCTTGGCGAGACAACCCCCAAACGGCCTTCCTTGATCAAATGTTGTCTTCGGGTCCTGTTGCGGTTCAGGGACAGAGTCGCCAGACAGCGATTCTCTCTGAGCGCCTCTGCCAGAAGGCCAACGCCCGCGTCGCCGATGTCGTTATCGTTTAGGCGCAGGGTCTGGGCCAAAGCGACTTCGCCGCTTGGGTTGCACGTGTCGAATGTCAGATTCCTTTCTGTGAATGCAAGGTTGTTGGGGGCACGGCACGGCTTTAGGCCAAGGTTTTCAGGTGCTTCAGGCGGCTTGGGGGAAGTGTTGAAGGATGTTCCTTCACCCAACAGGCAATCCTTTGGGAGGGACCCCCCTGGGGCCCGCCTGAGTAGACGTGTTGGCAGCCAGGGCCATGGCCACGCGTTCGGCCCCCAAATCCCCGATGCGGGTCTCGCAGGCATGTAGAGTCTGACACCTCGCAGGCACTTGGCATACTTCCATCATTTGAGGCCGACCTGTTTTTGTTCGATTCAAAGAAGACTGAGGAAGGATATTCTTGCAACTGGTTGGTTCGCTCGCAAATGTTGGAGCGTCTGGAGCCATGATCAAGAACGGAAAGGGCCCAAAGGAACAATACCAAAAAGCTAAACAGAGGAACTGGATTGAGGGGCCGCGTCTGCTGCAAGGCGACCACCACCTCGCTGAGATTGTAGGCGGCCACCTGTCAAAGTGGGCTTCCCCTGCACGCCCTGATGGCTTTTTGAAGGCGGCATGGGAAGCCAAAGCAAAACTGAAGAGCCTCCCTGTTGACAAACCCCCCACCTCCATCCCAATGAGGCTGGCGGCGCCTCCAGTTCAGATGCTTATAACCCCGGCCGCATTGACTCCAAGCCGATCAGGGGCCATCAAGCGTGGCGCCGTCCATGCACACCGCACACCGCGAGAAGCAGCAGCAATGCTACAAATGCGCTGCGGCCTGGTTTTGCGGCTGCGGATTGCTTGGACTGCCCAGGTGCCGAAAAGCAAACCATACAAAGCCCCAGCTTCAGGCTCAAGGCTACAGTCATCCATTTCCTGGGGGAAGAGCTGAAGAAGAAAGTCGCGGTATGCGCCCCTGCCCGGGATCAGCACGGTCAACCGCAAGAGCATTCAATCTGCATGCCGCACATATGGGCACCCTGAGAAGTGGTTGAGATTGACCAACTCACCGTTGAATCATCTCAAAGCCCTGGCTAACGGGAGCACGCGCCTACACACGGCGAGGAGCTGGTATCCTCGGCTGAAGTGGCTGAGGCATTCGAATCAAGCCGCGCTTTCTTTGTACCTGTTGTCATCTTTGTGGCCCCGACATCCCAGGTGTCAAACATGCGTTCAAGAAATCCCATGGACACACATGAAATATGACTTATCCACGCGGTGAAGCCATGACTTTGGCCATATAACCAGGACGAAGTGGCATCCTGGTTAAGTCGACGCTGAGTCCTTAGCAGAGCGAAGGGCTGGCCTACTGGCCCACGCATTAAGGCTTAGGGTGGCACATGCACGCTAGCAAAGAAGCACAACCTCAGCAACACAGCCTGGACAGCCCTGCGATTTGCAAAAATTATGTGGAGCATTCAGGCATGTGTCGAGGTGGAGGTGGCGGTCGCAGTGACAGTGGTGGTTGTGATGGTGGTGGAGCTCGTACTGCTGACAATCACCGTGCACACATTGGTGGTTGATGTTGATGACAACGTGTATGTGGTACTGGTGGTGGTGGTCGTCTGGGTTGTCGCATTTGGCGCCCAACTCATCACCTCAATGGCAGGCTTGCGTGTCGTAGTCGTTGTTGTCAGCGACACGGTTGTCCAGGTGGTTGCAGTGGTAGTTCCGGTGACTGTTGTCCAAGTCATTGTCAAAGTGAGCGTTGTCGTTGTCGTCAGGGAGGTGGCTGTGTGGGAAGTGGTCCTAATGCAAATGCAATGGGATGTTCTTTTGCAAAGTCCAGTGTCGGTGCTCGTGAGCCTACGTCCCTGCAGCACCCAAACTACCACCATTCCAATTGCAAGATGTGTGCCTCCGTGCTTCTTTACAGGTCAGTCCTGGTCGCTGTCCAGGTGTTGCTATGAGAGGTGGAAGTGCTGCCTGCGGCACTCGGTGCGCAACGTGCTGCAAAACCAGCCGAATGCATCTCTGCAGGATACAGTAACAGCCGCGCTTTGTGCCCAATATGAGGAGGATGTGCCAGTTGTGCACCTCAGTGCGATAGGATTTCCGGCCCGCAACATGGCTGAGTGCATGAGGATAACAAACAAGTCAGTCAGTCGCTACTGTAACAGGGTCCGCCTGCCTGCAGCAATGTGCAATCAAGGTGAATGCGCAAACATTTCTGCATGAAGCCCGGAGCCCCCTCGTATAGATCAAAGCCACACATCTCAACAGCGCATGGCCCTCTCTCTCTCTCTCTCTCTCTCTCTCTCTCTCTCTCTTTCTCGTCCCGCTTTCTCTCGCGCCCTCTCAAAGCTTGCTTGCGGTCTGCTGCTTAGCGTTCACGTTTGTGCTGTGGCGAGAACATGGTATCTTGCCCATGCTGGTATTGACGCAAAGTGTGGCTCAGGGTTCCGTGTGGGAGATCCCCACGTGGAAACAAAGCGAGAGTATGCGCGGGACGTGAAAAGCTGCACGAACAACAAACTCCTAAACGCAAATCCTACTCATGGTATGCCTTCAATGAGGTTGCCTTGTCACTCAACAACTCGAAGGAGGTCCCCAGTGTTGTTCTCCTGAATGTTCCGTTCCCAACAAGAAGCAGGTGGCTTTGCGCTCACTTGGGGTTCCCCCTTTACGATATGATATGATACGAGCTGATGTTATATAGGAAGCCGTAGGCACTCCTCCCTGCAGCCGATGCTCATTGGTGATGGGTCAAGTGGACAAGAATCATCGCAGTCCTTAGTCAGTGCCAAACGCTACTCAAATGGCCCTGTACTCAGAAGTGGTCCAGCAGGAGCATGGCAACATGACATTCATGCAACTCCGACCCCGCTGGATGACAAAGCTCAACACGATGCGCGCCTCATGTTTTTGTGCCTAGCTGCAATGAGACCGTCACAGTCCGTGTCGACTGCGACGACATTATTCTCGCACATCTCGCTGCTCGCCGGTCGTTGACGGCGAACGCCTTCCACGCCGTGGGAGCTCATACACCACAATTGCTAATAAATCTCCTCGACGGGCACGCCCAATCACATCCCATCCTATCCCTTTCTTGACTCCCAACGGGTTGACTCACATCCTGAAGCATTTCACTCGGGAAGCCAGACTGCCTTCACGGCCACGAGCTAGACACCCTGTCTGGCCGCCCTGCATGCCATCACAAGTTTCTAGAGCAAGCACCCCCCTCGGACATCCCCATGACATTGAGGGAAAGATTCCAAATCTTCCCGCCACGACAAAGCACCAAGGTGAAGCAGGAAGCCCAACAAAAAACCCTGAGGACATCATCTCAAGTACACAATACCCCCCACCCCACCCCACCCGCCGCGCAACCGCGCCTCCGCCACAGGCACCTGAACGCCGATCAGCGGCAACAGGCGGGTTCCGGGGCACGTGCTATAAAACAACAAGCGAAACAAGAACCTCCAAGCAGGCACCCGTCCTAGTGGGTGGTGTCCTTTTTGTGCTTTCTTTAAGAAAAACACAACGAGCGGCCAAGCACACACACACACACACACACACCACCAAAAGACTGCCACTCTTCCTTTACGTTCCTTCTCCAAGTTCAACGTGGCGTGCCAGACATTCGCTCAGCATCGAGGTTTAGTGCTCCAAGCTGTCCACTCGAGCATCCATGATGGCAGCACTTTTGGAGCTGCCTCCCGATCCTTTCCCATGCGCGAACTACCCATCAGTCCTTTGCGGGGTGCACA